CCCCTTCTCCGCTTTGACTCCCTCTCCCTCTCACCCTCTGCAGAACATTTTTTTTCTCGGCCTCGGTAATAGTACTAACATCCTTGAGCAAAACTTTAAAACAAAAAAGAAAAGAAAAGGCAGGCTTGTCGTGGGGTATATATCAACATCATGTTGTTGGTTTTTGGTTTGTCGCTTGAACGCAGTCCAGATGCCGGCCGATATATAAATGCCGAGACGCAGGTATCCGAAGGGGCAAAGCACGCGCGAGCACACACACATACGTACACACATATGTACATCCATCGAAGCGGGCGCTTATTCGGGGCGCTGGGCCCAGACGACGTGGCTAGGTAGCATCGGAGTCAGTAAAGCGGGAAACCCCCCAAAAAAAACGTCTATACGATGAGAGACGACTACTACTCACAAGTCAAACATGGCGTGGATGCTCTTGTCCTTGAGGTCCTGGCGGACCTGGGCCAGCAGCACCTGCACCTCCTTGATATCCCACTTGAGGATGTCGACAAAGACGCGCAGCGAGAAGCCCTCGAGCCCATCAATGACCTGCATGAGGTTGAGGAGGCCGGCCTCCTTCTGGCGCTTCTCCTTGGCCCACGGCCCAATGGGCAGCTTGAACTTCTCGTGGTGGATGTTGACGAAGCCGGCCTCCTTGAACCACTCGGGCAGCTTGTGGCCCGGCAGCGAGTACCGCCCCAGCTTGCCGCACGCCTCGACCAGCGTGCTGATCCATTTGTGGATCGCGTGGTCGGGCGTCAGCGACCCGTCGTCCGAGTAGAACATCGAGTCGAAGTCTTGGAACTCGACCCACCCGCCGGGCTTGACGTTCTTGTAGGCTTGCTTGACCAGGTTCGGCCAGTCGCCGATCGCCGAGGCCAGGTACCGCGAGAAGACGTAGTCGAAGGGCGTGGGGAAGGTCCACTCGTTCTCGACGTCGTCGACCTCGAACTTGACGTTCGTGGGGACCCTGTGCGCGGAGTTGAGTCAGCCATTGCCGTCCACACACTCCGCGGGGCAACTCACCAAGTCGGCTGCACCGGGCTCAAATCATTGCCCAAGATCTCGGCACTCGGGAAGCGATCGCCCATCTCAATCGCCCAGATGCCCGTCCCCGTCCCAACGTCCAAAATCTTGCCGGCAAAGTCGTCCGGCAGCGGCGCGAGGAACAGGCGGTCGCCAATGAGCTTGAGCATCATGTGGTGGGCGAGGTCGAGGCGGTCCTGCTCCTCGTCGTCGTTGGGCAGGATGTAGCTGCCGTCCTTGTACGCGTGGTAGCGGCGCCCGTTGCGGACCGGGTAGTTGGTGATGCTGGACGTCAGCGAGGTGCTGAAGCTCGAGAGCTGCTCGTCGATGCTGCCGACTGCGCTGTCGGTGTCGCTGTCAGAGTGCCGAAGGAACTGTGGGGGTTGTTAGTGCGCGCGCAATGCGATTGCGATTGTGACTGCGACGGCCATTGGCGGATTAGGGTAGGTGGGTAAGAAGACGTACGTCAGGGTCGACATCCAGCGGGACAGCCGTGGCTGCGGGCGTCGTCGTCGTCGTCGGGTTCTCGGCCATGGCTGTTCGGTTGCTGGCAAGGTATGTATGTATGTCCTTCTCGAACTCTTCGTATTGCAATTGTTTGCTTTTGTTTTTGCTTTTCCCTTTCTTCGTGACCGGGTTGCGGAGGGGTTTGCAGATGCAGGTGCGGACGGGAGCGAGCGGGCGGGGCGCAGCCAAGTAAAGTACCCTGGAAGGCAAGGCAAGGTTAGGTTATCCTCCGGCGGCAGTGGCGTGGTGCGTGGAGAGCGTGCGAGGGTGCGTAGGGCGGCGCAGGGCGTGCGGGACCGCGGGCTTTTGTTTAGTTTTAGTTTCAATTGAGACGGCAAGACGGCAAAAGTCGCAAAGGGGGGGATCCGACCGTCGGCCCACTGACTGACTTGGTCAGTTACTCGTTCACTCGCAGTCTCGCTCGTTCATTCATTGTCTGTGTCTGCGTCTGTGCCGCAGCGGGGAACGAGGGTGGCGCGGAGCTTTGCGGCTTGTGGGCTTGCCCGAGCCCCGATGCTGGCGGTTGGCGGCCACGTGGGTGTGGGTCATGGTGAGGGGTGCGGTGGTGCTCGTGCGAGACGAGGTCGAGGGAGAGGCGAGGAGGGGTTGGGTACAATAACTGGGTTACCTACTGGATCTGCGATGCGATGCGATGCGAGGTGATGGGCGATGGTAAGCATTACCTACTACGTAGCAGCAAGTAGCATATCCCCCTCCTCTATACCTACCTTCCAGCTACTAAGTATTCAATCCAATTCAATCGAACCCAATTCGGTCCCACACATGCCCATTCATCGAGGAAACACAAAAGAGGCAAAGCGCCCGCGCGCCCACCCGCCAGGCCGCCAGGCCGCCTGCCGCGCCCGTTGCTTTTTCCCGCAACCGCGAACCCGCCCGCTCCGGACGAGTGAGCAGCTCCGGAGGCCGCAGTCCGCAACGCACGTTGCACGCGGCATGTGCCGAGGCTTGTGCCGTGATTACTTGGTAGGAACTTACGCGTAGTGACGACCGACCTTACTCGCGCTGTCAGTCTCTCTCTCTCTCCTTTGTTTGAGATCTGGCCTTCGTTCGTTCGTCTCGGTTGCCCGCATACGCAGCGAATTGACGTCCGTCCATCCGTCATTGTCATTGTCATGTCGAACTAGGTTTTGAGCTGCAGAGGCACAGACATGCATGACTCGCGCACGAATTTCTCTTTGGGCGGCCTGCAGGCGGTAGCTGCTCCGGGGGCGGGGATTGGTTGGTTGGGTTGGATTGGATGGATGTGGATGGATAGTACTCTCTTCTTTTTCTGGTTGGATGGATGATCGACTGAAGAGCAGAACCTTTTGAGGTTTCGAGAATGGAAAGTTGATAATTGAAATAGTGTGAGAAAGCACGCAGAGTCCGTGAGTCACGTATCGGGAAGTGAATGGCTCGTTATCCGTAGCTAGAAAGAGATGGCACACGTCGAGAGAATGGACTGTTGATTCATGGACCAGGACGTTCGTCTACGGGTCTGTGCTTTGGTGATGGACGCAGGTGTATCTTCTCTGGCCGTCACGGAATGGCCTCAAGCTCGCTTACTTCTACCCGAGTGCGTCTACTTCTCGTAGAAAACGGGGTTGATGAGAGTGCCAATCTTCTCAATCTCCACCCTCATGTCGTCGCCGTCCCGGAGAATGACCTTGGGGTCTCTCATCGCGCCAACGCCGGGGCCCGTGCCCGTCATGATGACGGTGCCGCGCTCCAGGGTGGTGCCGGTGGAGAGGAACGACACGATCTTGGCGATGTTGAAGATCATTTCGCTAGAAGAGCATCGGCATTAGCATATTTAACTGTCTACGAAAAAAAAGCAAGCGGATCCTTACCTGGTGTTCGAGTCCTGCACCACATTGCCGTTGTGGATGCCCTTTATGCGCAGCTTGTGCGGGTCGCCAATGGCAGCCGACGAGACAATGACCGGGCCCACGGGCGCCGAACCATCGAAACCTAAGTACAACAAGCACGCGTGAGCACGGCACTCACCCATCTCAACCTCCACACAGTGCCCTACCTACCTTTCGAGAAGCACCACTGCGAGTTCTTGAACTGCTGCGTGCGCGCGCTGACGTCGTTGCCGCACGTGTACCCCAGCACGTAGTCCAGGGCCTTGTCCTCCGGGATGTCGCGCCCGTCCTTGCCGATGATGAACGTCAGCTCCGACTCGTAGTCGCTGGAGCCGTCTTGCGCGATCGCCGGCACGTTGATCTTGGCTGGGAAGGGCCCGTTGATGGTCGTGCGCGGCTTGATGAAGAGGATGGGCGTGTCGGGGATGGGCATCTTGGCCTCGTGGGCGTCTGGGAGGCGGTCAGTACCTAGGCTTCCTTGGTCGTGTGCGTGCTAATGCAATGGCGATGACTTACGATCGTGGTAGTTCAGACCCATGCACCGCACCAGCGGGACCTGGTCGTAGGAGATGGGCGACAGCAGCTTCATCGCGTCAGCACCACGTCCGCTGCCTCCCCGAGCTGGGCCTTGCGGGCGCGCCTCACCTGCGCAACGTGCAGCGTCCGCTCCGTCACGACGCCATCGAACAGCGAGCCGTGCACGAGCTTCGCAGCGACGTCTTTGCCCTCAAAGGTCGCGAGACCGACGTCGGGGTATGCGCTGGGGTCGATCTGGCCCAGGTGGATTTGGCCGTCTTCCTTGGCGATGAAGCGGATCAGGTGCGTCCAGTTGGGTGCCATTGCGGGGTGATGTTATCTTTTGTCGAGCTGCTGCAGGTAAAGGGATTGAGGGAGGTGCGAGAGCTTCATGTCGTCGTGGTTGATGTGTCCCTGATGTACCGCGCCAGATGCCGCGAGGTCGCGTTGCGGGGTCGCGCGGGCATCGGGGATCCACGGAAATTGCGTCAGCGCTGCCCTTTATCTCCGCTGACCGAGGCGAACAACTTTCACCTCCTTCACCTTTTTCCGTTCAGGACCCTGCATTATCACTTCTGGCACCCCTGGCAGCATTGGCAGCATTGGCAGCATGCAAGAAGGACAATAGCCAAGGATCTTGAAGCGGAAATTCGTCTCACGCTTGCATTTTTTTCTTTCATCGTCATTAAATTCTTATTTTTATCATCTGCTGCTGACCCCAGTGGGAGTAACGTCAGCACAGGAATGTATACATATGAAACTAGTAAACCGGCTAGTGTGTCGGGGGGTTCCAATGCAATGAATCCCGACCAAACCCATCCCGCCCCAACTCCAAGGATACCAACTCCAAGGACAAGCAAAGCTATGTCTCTCGCGGCACGCTTCCAAACCAGCCCGGATGCGTCCTCTCCGCATCTAACGCCGTAACCTCGGCGTTGTTCTGCCCGCCCCTCCAGCCTTCAGTCCGGCCCTCCATAAACGACTCCTCATCGCGATCAGACACGCGGATATCATACGTCTGCTCGACCAAGACAACGTTGGACACGACGTTTGACCCCGCACCCGATTGCATGGCCTCCTTGCCGTCGAGAATGGCCTCCTCGTCCGAGTCCAGCGTCGACACCTGGCTGCGCCCCACGGTGCTCGAGAAGCGCGCCTTGCGGTCCGCCCGCGTCGCGCGTGTTTCCATGCGCATGGACGTCGAGTCGTTGCCCCGCTTGGCGGACATGGGCCGGTAGGGGCCGCGGACCCAGAAGGCGCGCGTGAAGAGCGGAGCCAGGATTGGCGCGTTGACAGCGAGGATGCCGATGATGGTCTCGCGCACGCCCCAGCGGTTGATGTTGAGGCCCGAAGGTGCGTTGCCCAGCGTCAGGGCGGCGCGTATTATGGCTGCCGAGATGATGAAGAGACCTGAGGATAGGAGGATCGCAACGGCGACCTTTTTCTTCATTGGGACCTGTAGCTTCCAGAGGAGCGGGACGGGGATCGACAGAATAATGCCGTCGGTGAGGATGTTGAGCGCGGCCGAGACGAGGAAGTTTTGCGGCTTGAAGGTGCATTGCCTGCTGGGCTTAGGGCGGACCTGCCAGTTTTCGTGCATGCTAAAGGTATGTTTTTAGCCGGTGTTCTTTCGTGGTTGGGTGGCCATGCTTACGGGTGGCAACCAAAGGTGACAGTGAGAAAAACTGCCGTGTATGTCACGCCGCATACCCAGAACATGTGGTTGAGCAGTCTGTTCTGCCATGTCTTCATTGTCAATCGCTTGCTGCAAAATGTCAGTGGAATGTCCAGATTCCAAATGTGAGTTGAGGACCTACTAAAAAAACAGCACGCAAAACTTCATGCACCAGATTAGCGCCGTGTAGCTGTACCTATTGATGCGTCAGTATCGCTAGACCAACCCTGGGCATTGTGAGATTTACCAGGCGCCCAACTGGGCCTTTGATCCGGCCTCGAGAATTCGGACGTCTTGGTCTGTCAAGAGCGGGACCATCGAGTCGGCCACATCGACATTGGAACCCTTCTCGTCTATAGACAGTATGTCAGCCAGAGGGTTAAACAATGCGAGGTGATTGAGAAGCACTCACAGACGATATGCACGAGAATTGCATCCATAGCATAGCACGCCAGGACCTGCTCAGTCAGTTAGGTGGGCGTCCCAGGGCCGTGGCCCGGGATAAGAGTACTCACAACCAACGTCACATAATCATCGCCCTGGAAACCCCTCAGGCCCACGGTACGCAACCGCACCACGAAGCGCAAGAATATAACCGTTACACCAATGACGAACCAAGACTGCGACGCCACGTGAGTAAGTAAACGAAGGGGTTCGCTGCATGCGGAACAACTTACCCATATTTCCCAAAGGAAGGTGGGATCCTCTTCCAAGTCGATTACACGGGTGTCAGTCATGGTTGAGTGGCGAAGACCAATGACTGGGGATTGAAGAAGAGATATAGGTCGGAAAGGGAGGTGGAAGATTGCGGTACGTTCACGCAAGCCTGCTCATCCTCACGGGTGTGCCATCGGATTAAGGGAAGTGAAAAATAAAAGCATGAAAGAAAGTCGCCCCAGCGGCGACACTGCGCAGTTGTCCCCGAAACACGATCGGAATTGGAATTATGCTTCGGACGGCGGCCAGCCATCCTATAGCGTCCCGTCGATTGTTCGGCCCGGTGATTGACGTATGTATCTAATCTCACTAATCGCTTTCTAATGCAAATAGCCCAATTGACGCGCTCCTTTTGCTTAACAGGGGGGTTTTTTTTTGACGCTGACGAGAGCCAATGGTAACTGAAATCAACTTCTTTCCATCATACCCTACTCGTACCACGCGCGGCTCATGGAAAGGGTTCCGTTGGTTCTAGCCACTAACTTAGGGCTGTCTAACAAAAGCCATGTCTTGCGCCACACGGACGATGATCTAGAATGTTTCCCTGCTTGGCGATGAAACATGGCAAGATCTCACAACCACAGGGGCTTGGGTCGACACTGTCGATCGTGAAGTCTTGTGAGACGTGGGAGGGAGATGGGCGGGGATCTCTCTCTCCCTGCAACTGAGGGGTAATTACATCATCAGCCGCGATCTACATAGCTACGGCTCGGCTCCTTCAGCAGAATAGCACGAAGGCAGTGGTTATTTGGAACGCGAAGGAGCAAACGCAAGCTCGGACGCAGGAAGCAGCGCCACCCGCAATGTCTCAGCTCATCAAGAGGCAAAGCTCGCAAGCCCAAGCCGAGCCGCCCGCTTTGGAGCCACGCCAGGCCCAGGCCCGCATCGCAACGCTCGCGCGAGCCAACATCCGCATCCATTTCATCGACCAGCACCCACCGGAGGGGACGGAGCAAAAGGGAGTCATGCTGCTCATCCACGGCTTCCCGCAGACGAGCTACCAGTTCCGGCACGTGACGGGCCCTCTGGCGGCGGCGGGGTACCGGAGCATCGCGGCCGACTATCGCGGGGCGGGGCGGTCGTCGCACCCGCACGGCGACTTCACAAAGGTGACCATGGCGGCGGACCTGGCGGAGCTGGTGCACGAGCACCTCGGCGTCACCGAGCGCGTGCACGTCGTCGGGCACGACATTGGCGCCATGGTGGCGCACGCCTATGCGGCGCGGCTGCCGGGCCGGGTGCAGAGCGTGGCGCTGGGCGAGTGTCCGCTGCCAGGCACGGCGGCCTACGAGCGCGACAAGCGCATGCCCGCCCAGTTCCACTTCGTCTTCCACTCGGTGGGCGACCTTCCCGAGGCGCTGACGGCGGGTCGCGAGCGCATCTACCTCCGCCATTTCTTCGACAAGCTGGCCTACAACGCCCTCGCCATCCCCGACACAGCCCTCGACCACTACGCCCGCGACTACGAGCAGCCCGGCGCCATGCGCTGCGCTTTCGGCCTCTACCGCTACTTTGAGGCCGACGCCCACGACAACGCCGACTGCCGCCGCCGCAACGGCAAGTGCAGGGTCCCCGCCCTGGCCCTGAGCGGCGAGTTCAGCCGCCATGCCGCAGACGCCCAGGACATGCTGCGCGAGATGTACGAGAGCGTCGACGTCGCCGAGGTCCGCGCCTCGGGCCACTACGTCGCCGAGGAGAACCCGGCCGACTTTGTCGACAAGCTTTTGGCTTTTGTGCGCCGCAATTCTTGGTGAGGGGGGTTTGGTGTTGGTGTTGGTGTTGAAAGAGATTATTGCCGGGAGCTAGGAGTAGGAGCAAGGGAATTGTTATTGGCTGCAACCAGCGCGTCGTTGTGAGGGACGTCTAGACCAAGCGTGCCAAGGCTCCTCCGAACCCCCCCCCCCGGAAACCTTTACTATTCGTACTAGACGGGCGGGTCAAGCTTGACCCCTTGGAAAAGGCTAAACCCCAACTAAATAAAGCTCGCTTCAAGCCATCATGAAGAGGATCAATAGACTGCAATGGCATTGTGGAATTTGACGATCTAGCCCCCCGACGTCCCTTTCACCCGGGACGGGAGTCGTTCACGGAGTCGCAAATTGGCCATGGATTAGCTCGATCGTGTGCCGTCCTCGGCAATCGCAATCACAATCACAGATATGCCCATTCCTTCCTTCCATCCAGACACGGCACCTAGCTCCGTAGGATCCAAATAGGGGATTGTCTCAATTTGAAACTCTCCTCCTATACTAACCTAACCACCTCGGAGTAACGTATGTACCTGCGACACGACGACGCAACATCAAATAGGAGTCGGAGTAGGAGAAGGAGTAGCCGCACCCCTTCGCCCCCCCGACTCCAGCACGAGCCGCGCTGCACACCACACCGGCATCGACGATCTGCTGAACCCGCTGCGGCGCCAACTCCCACGTCTCCGTGCGCTGCGGCGCCGCATTTACCACTACCACCACCACCACCACGACGCCACCCACCATCACTCAAGAGATCCATGCTCGCTCGCTCGCTCGAGGTAAAGAGAAAGTGAGAGAGAGAAAGGAAGAGAGCAAAGACAGAAAGAGACAAAGAGCAAAAAAAAAAAACCCCCCCACTCCCCCCATCTACTCCGCCCCCTCCACCACCGCACCCCCAAGACCCAACCCAGCATAAACCGCCCGCTCGCACCTCTCCGCCGCCCCCTGCACCGCCGCATTCCCAAACGGCAGCACCTGCGCCGCCGTCACCCCCGCAACCCCCTTCTCCCGATCAAGCCAGTAGTAGACATTGCTCACGCCCGACCAATTCCCCGCGCAGCGCCCGCGCCACGCATGCCCCTTCCCGTCCAGGTTGCTCAGCAGAAACGTAATCCCCCACCCTTGCGGCGGGCTGCCCGCCTGCGCGTACTGCTCCGCAAACGAAGAACTGAGGTCCGGCTTCTGCGTCTCGGTCGGCACGCGCCCGAAATCCGGCCACTCCGGCAGCGTGTTGCCGAACATGCGCGCGACCGTCTCGGCCGCGAGGATCCGCGCCCCCGTCTTCCCGGACACTCCGTCGTTCAGCACCGCCGCCAGCACCTGCGCATACTCCGCCGCGCTCGCGAAACACCCCGCCCCGCCCGCGCACATGACCTGCGCGCGCTCGCCGGCCGTGCTAGCGCTCACGCTGCGCCGCAGCAGGTGGTCGCGCTCGTGGATCGCCCCGTCGGGCGTCGCTTGGTGCAGGTACGCGAGGTTGCGGCGCATGGTGTCGGTCGGGAAGAAGCGGATGTTTTCGATGCCCAGCGGTTGGAAGATGTGCTGCGTGAAGTAGGCGTCGAGGTTCTGGCCGGAAAGCCGCTCGACGGCCAGGCCCGCCCAGTCGATGCTCGTCTGGTTTGCGGTGGTCAGTACAGAAAACCCAGACCGTATGAGGTCTCATGGATGGATGGGTGTGCTCACGCCGTACTCCCACCGCTCGCCCGGCTGGTTCACCAGCGGCGCGTCCAGCACGTCTCGCGCATCGCCGGAGAACTCGTCCAAGCCCACCGGGCGGGCGTACTCATTCAGCCGCTTGTTGAAAAACGAGTAGCCAAACCCCGCGGTATGGTTCAGCAGCATGAGCAGCGTAATCTCCCTCTCCTTATCGACGAGCGTCTTCCCGTCCTGCGCTAGGACCTTCTTCGCCCGCAGCTCCGGCAGCACCGCGTACAGCGCGTCGGCGTCGTCGAGGCTGATTTTGCCTTGCTCCACGAGCTGCATGCACGCGATGCCCGTGATGAGTTTCGTGCAGCTCGCGATCCAGAAGACTGTGTCGTCCGCGCTCATTGGCGTCGACTGGTTCTTGCCTATCGTCCCCGAGCTGTGCGATGCTAGCACCGCGCCCCGCCGGTCCACGGCCATGAACACCGCCCCCGGAATCCCGTGCTCCGTGGTTAGCTGGTCCAGGCTTGCCTCGACCTTTTGCTGGAATGGCGCGCCGATCTTGGACATGATGGCGAACAGGATCAATCAATCAATCACTACGTGATGAGGTCAGACGGGACTGCGATGCGATGCGATGCGATGCAGGGACAAACGGGTGTGGCGTTAAAAGGGTATCTTGGTTTAGCGTGAAAGCTTGCGAAAAAGCAGCTAGGTAGCGTAGCATCGGGGTCTTTATATATACAGAGAGAAATTTGACAGTCTTCGCAATGGTGTCATGGGTTGCCCAACATCCCCGCATTCCGGCTTCATGTGTGGGGGTGCGGTGGGTCCACTAAAAGCCACAACAAACTCCCGTCGTCTCACAGGAAAACCTGCGTCGCCCTGCTCCGCTCCCAACCAGCGCGTGAACTTCCTGTTTGTGGAGAAATGCAGCGCTGTCTATCGGTGCTGTAAAGTGGTCATATCAAAAACTACGCTTCGTTCGAAGATTGGATGCCATAAAAAGACAGCTCCAAGCGATCTTCTTTGAGGGTCGGCAGAGTACGTTGGTGGGGTGGGGGGAAATCCGTCAGCTGAGACGACAGCAGATCCAATCGCCTGCTTGCTCAGGACAGACCGTTCCATGACCACCCAACTTTCGTCTAAGTTAAAAAATTCTAAGGTTTTAAATCGAGTGAACACTGAAGATAGGCGATTTAGGACCTCGCTTTGCGTTTTGCGGTAAAATTCTTAATCTCCTTCAAGGCCGCCATGATCAACGGAACGGCGACAGGGCCCAGGAGCGGCAGATAAACGGCGACCTTGTGCTCCTCGGGGAAGTAAACTTGCCCGACCATCGAGCGTTCGAAGAATGCCTTTTCGGCCCCGGTTTCGGCAGTGCGTGCATGTTCGAGAGCACCTTGAAACCGGCCTTCCCTCAGGTCGTCGCATGCAGCTTGCAGATGCGCAATCGTCTCTTTCACAGAGATGGCAACGTTGTCTGGGATGGCAATTGAAGGTAGAGCTTGAGTAAGACGACCCAGCGAACCCAAAGTTGACGATGCGGAGAAAAGAAGCGATGCAGCTCTGATCCGGGAGAGAGTACCTATACGAATAGGCAGTGATTCCGGTGACCGAGGCACTCCAAGCAGCGAAAGCAGCTGGTTGGAGAAGGTGAGCATTGCCGGCCGGAGCGCCTCTTTGCTCAGAAAGACTGGGTTTTGCGGACCCGGCGGGTTGAGCACTTGGACACCGCCCCATTGCGGTACCAACCAGCTGTTGCCACCATTTTCCTTGATCACAAGAGGACTCTGGTTCTCAGACGGAACGTAGAGAACAAAATTGACCGTTGGACCAATGCCAATACTCGGGCTCAGCGGCCACTCCGCAGCGTTGATGAATCCACTCAGGTCTTCCTTCCGCAAGGTCCATGCATTTTTCTCGGCATCGAATTCTGGGTCGCGGATCGATGGAGCGAACGTAGCATACAGCTGCACCTGCGTGTCGATGGTAAAGTTGCTGATAACCGACAAGGAATGCAGCAGAGGCGCAATAAACTCCTCCAGCGCAGCCTCAATCTCCCAAGCCGAGGGCGCAGCGCCAGGCGTGAATAGAGAGAAAGTCAGGTGGTACGTAGGCGCATACCTGAATGAGCGCGTCTTCTGGCGCTCTAGACTCGCGGCCGACTCTGCCGACAGGGACTTGGTGCGCATTGGCTGGCCCACTCCACTGCTCGACAAAAGGTATGCCAACGCTGCCTGCTCCTCGGAAAATATGTTCTGCAGTTCCTTGGCGATGAATGTAGCAAGCGGAGAAGATGTGGCGGAAGGCGAAGGGATCTGGTTTGGCGCGTAATAGACATCAAGGGTCGGCGCATACTTCTGGAGCTGAGCCGCCGGTGTAAAGCCAGTTTGTCCCTGAATCAGGTTGATTGTCAAGGCAATGTCCGATTTACTTGATGCAAGTAACGACGCTCCATCGCTGTATAGCGCAGGCTCGGCCACTTCCTGGGTAGCATTGGGTGTTTCCGAGGACTTTGCGAGAAGCAGACGGAGGTGGTGAGCGGAGAAGTCGTTGAGGTCGTCAAGTGCATGTTGGGTGGTGCGCAAAAGGTTCTGGGCGTCCGATGACGGTAGGGAGGGGGCTTCAATGGCTATGCGCAACGGGAAGACAGGTCGACAGGTCTGGGTGAAGGCTGTCAGTAAGCATGGCATGACAGTGGAGGCGCGAGAGAGACAACCTTGCCGTCAGCCCAGTCCAACATGTCCTGTAAAGGCAGGTCGGCGCGATAGACAGTCGTCGTCTTCCACCATAGCGGCAAGCCCAAGAATATGACAATGGCCCAGAAGGAGAGGATGACGAGCCTCCGGATCGCGACGCTCTCGGGCTTCTCCGGCGGCGGTCGCGGGGCATAGGCAGCGGCATGCGCTACCTTTGATTGAGATGGAGGGAGATCTGGCTGGTCGTCTGCGGCCATGTCGCGTCGAGGAGCAATTGCTTGCTGGGGCCGCGTCGAGAGCGCGACCTGGCGAAAGCTGGAGCTGTCTGGATCTGGGGCGGGATTTCTTCGGTGCGCATTTCAACGCCTGAAAAACGAGGCACGTAATGGAATGGTACACAACCTTGGCATTCCGCTCTGCAACTCTCAAATTATAGGCCTCTAAGTCGATATTGTAAATCTATTTCCCTGGCGAAAGGAAAGTGTATAAGTGTCACTTCCTATTTGAGTGAACATGGAAACGCTACGATATCTGAACTACAATTTAGTGAAGCTTTTGATCATAGGCTCATATATTTGGAAGTAATATATTTATATCTATATAATTACAAATTCATCTATCCTCTTCAATTTAGCCACGACCAAGGTTAGTAGCGTACAAGGATAAACAAACCTGTCCATGTGGCTGACTTACTCTTAAGTGCAATGCCCAATCATGGGCTTCAAATTCACCAGCCACTTAGCCCCGCTAATGCCTGCGCCACGCCCATGCATACTGATGACTTCATCGTCAATCGCAAGCTTCCAAGTTCCGTGCACCAGCTTGAATATAGAGTAGATCCCCGGCCATGCCTCGGCCAACTCTCCCTCTTCGTTATACCATGCAATGGATACGACGCAAAGAAAAGGCGCTCGATTAACAAAACGACGACCTGCTCCCTCCTTCGACCCCGCGTCTGTCGAGCCATTCCCGCCAATATACAGCGACGACCCGCAGGAACCCCCGTCACCCATTGAAGTCATGCCGCCAACCCCTGCCGATTCCCAAAAGACGGACAAGGAGAAACGCTCCAAGTGGCGCAACCCTTTCCATTCAAAAGACAAGGGCAAGGAGCGCGAAAGCACAGCGACCACCTCCCATCCGCCAGTCCACTCCAACTCGACGTTAAACCCAGATTCTGCTTATGGAAGCAGTGAACCGAGCAGCTCTTTTTCTGGTACTGCGAACAACGTTTCTCCTCACCCAACCGACAGCGACCATCGAATATCCAGGTCAAGCGAGGAACCTGATAGGGAGAGACTGCAAGTGCCAGGGCAACCTACCATAGCGAGTGCGCCCGCAACGCCACCAATCGTTCAAGAGTCGCACGTGGAGGGTAGCACCATCGTTACGACCACGACGACAACCACAACAACCACTGTCACGAGAGTGGGCCCCAATGGACAGACAACCGTGCAGATTCCGAGGCAGGAAAATGGTACTGAAGAGGCTCCAAGCAGCGAGACTACAGTGACCACGAGTGCGCCACCCAATGTTTCGCAACTTCAGCCTCCGAGAAACGAGTCGCATAGCAGAAGCCCACCTATTCCTACCCGAAGCTCAATGCGCGATCGAGCCGAACTGGATGGTGCTCTGCCTGGGGCCGCCGTGGGGTCAGCTGCGACCGACGAAGCGCCTGTTGTAACCTCTGTGACGCCAACGACGCCAACCAGGCCGAACTTCTCATACCCCGGACGGAGCCCTGTCCCCTCGCAGGACAGGTTGAGCATGCCCCCGCATAACTTCGCTCCGCAGCAAGGCGCGTCTGTACCTGCCCCGTTGCAGATCAATCACCCGCAAGGACAAGCGTCGCATCATAGGGGCTCTACGCTCTCGAATCTCAAGAGCGCAGCCGTAGGGATCCATGTAAGTGCAGACTCAGGCGAGGCCGCGTGGAGCAGATGACTAACTGCAGATGTCCAGGGCGCCGCCGAAACGCTGCGCGGGACGCTAAACTCGACCGTCGACCGTCGCTTCGGCGCAGACGCGGAAACCATGGCGAAGAATGACCGAGTGGTGCAGGCCGGAAGGGCGGAGATAAACAGTGCGAATGCTCGACGAAATCAGGACGGAGGCAGGCTGGACACTATGATGAACAGAGCTCAGCGATTCGGAAACAACAGGTTTGGGCACGGGGCTGTGGGAGAGTGAGAACATGTCGGTGTGGAGAGACTTCCTTCGATGGAGTTTATCGCATTGGAACTGCTTTGTTTTGTGCGATGTTGGCGTAACGGTGTCGGATAAGTTGCCCGAGGGCGTTGACCAGTCAGTGTGGGCGTGCGCGCAGGGTCGGGTGCACGACATATGGACGTGCGACGGAGATAATTGTCGTGATGGTTCGGCCACCGGCAGCCGGGTGGGCGGAATCCATGGAGGTGGTGGCTTAATTTAGTATATCCAAGGGGATTAAGGGTCTCATGGTGGTCCCTCTGCCGCGGCTCCTTCCCTTGGGCGCGGGCGCTAGAGGAAACCAAGCTGTCTTGACGCCCGACGTCGACTCTTCGCTGTCACGCTGTTTTGTCTTGCATGTCGACCCGCGGGAGATCGCCAACAGCGGTCAATCCCTTCCAGCCGCGTCCAGAAGCTTCCAGCGTTCCGTCAAATGCCGCACAGCGGGGGCTTCGGGCTTCGGGCAGTGTCCAGATATCAGCGACGCGTCCCCTCGTCCATTTTGCGCCATCTCAACGCCATTCCGACGACAATCAAGCTTTGGACAAGCTTTATGGGTCTCACGACGATCGACCGTTGGACGGCCGTTGACCTCCGTGGCCGCTGGGTGACGCATGCAGAGGTCGAATCCCACCGATGCGGACGCGGCGGGCCCATCCACGCCATCCCCGGCATGGCGGTGGGGCCTGCGCGTTGGGATCTTCCCAGCGCGAAATAATTGACTGGTCTGCGGCCCATCTCGACGCTTCCGGAGTCCCACTGCGCTCCATCCTCCCTGGGTAAATCGAACCGAACGGACCTCGTCAAGTCGGAGCGAGATACGAGTCCCGAGCACGGGTCTCATGATTGCTGGGCCATGACGATCTTTGTATCAATGCTGTTCTTGGCCGTCCAGGTCTGGTTCTTTAACTCCCCTGCCGCTGTCTGCTATCGCGGCCCCCCTCCTTCGTCCCCTGCCTTCATCCCCTAAGGTTCCGCCCACCCAATGGATTTTTTCATGTGTCGTTAGTGAAGCTCCGTCGCTCTACCCTTTGCAATCGGTCTCGTCAGCTGTAACGCAACATGGAAGGGGGAAGAGATAGCACGTCGAGCAGAAGAGGAGGAGACAGCCACCCGGACAATGCAACGATGGAATCTCTACGGACCATTCCGACGCCGGACAGCCCCCGTCCCACTACTCACCCGGCCGAGCTGGACACTTCAAGGATCTCAGCGCTACACCGCAGCTCTACCACGCCAACACGCCGAGACTTTGCGCCTGTTGGTCGTGGCGATGGGTCTCCAAGCCGCTCGAATCGACGCCGGGGACATTCGGTATCAACACGAGAAGCCCATTTCCCTGTCGCCAATCCTCCCCGAACGAGCGGCCCGAAAAGACCGAATGAGAGCCTGGAGAATATACCGGAGGAAGAACGGATAGCCGGACTGGCAGCTGCACATAGGGTAGGGACGAGCTCCTCCAAGGATTCTCATGGAAGCATCAGCGGCCTCCGCCGGAGAGCACCGACGATGACCCTGCCTCGGACGAGCGCCGGTGGTGCTACCCTCCTCAGACGGCCTACTCTTTTGCAGTCTGGAGCTGGAGAAAGCAACCCAGGCTTCACGCTGGCCGGCCCTCCAGAGCCGGCCGTCGCGAACCAACACCAGCCTTACGTTGACCCGGGCTATTCGCAGCTGAACCCATCCTACGAGCAGCCGATCAATGTGCGGCCGGTATGGGGTCTTGCAAAACCACTCCCACGTGTCATCCGGCCTGGTATGGTGCCGACGCCCTTATCTGGGACGCCGGCTGAGAATCCCGACCTGGAACAGAAAGGGGAATTTCCGTTCGAGTTCCCTAATCCGGACCCTGAAAAAGGTAGAGTGGATGCTGGTATCAACCTGGGAAAGGTCTCATCACGGCTTAATGATCTTAGAGAACAACGCGAGGCGAACTTCCTTCAGAAAGTGGGTTCGCGGACTGTTCCACCGCCCTCGACGCTCGCGCCAACGGCCAGCCAGCAAAGCCCAGGAAGAGAGTCGCCGGTTGAACCACAACAGGGAGCACCGTCGACGTTGACACCGCATGCCGAGGAGCCGGAGGCTGAGGAAGCGGCGGACGAGGCTGCGAGCCAATCGTCCCACGCACATCCTTCTTCCAGACACCAGGCATTTTCCTTCCAAGGACGTTCAAGCCTGGCCCAGGGACGGTCCGAGGATGGCATGCCTACTACCCAGTATGGCTATCGGGATGACGTGTCTGAGGCCGCCACCGAGTTTGACGACCAGGCCAACTGGGCCGATGAACCCGCCGACCTGGCTCTGCATGAGTTTGACATAGAGGACGAGATTCACAGTGAGTATCCCGCCCGATGTGATGACTTTCAGATGCTGACGATCTTTTAGATAACCACACGCATTGGAGTGTCATACGGACAAAGTTCCGCGAGCCTTTGGCTGAGCTGCTAGCTGTAAGATCTGGGTACAAGCTACAACTCGGGCTGGATACTGACTGCACATGACACAGACCACGGTCCAACTGACGTTGGGCTTCTGCGCCGATCTCGCAGGCACCACGACGGATGGCGGGAGCTTGGACCCAGGCTCGACGAGCTTAGCTTGGGGCCTGGCGTCTATGATTGGGATCTACATCGCTGGTGGTATTTCCGGTGCTCACCTCAACCCGGCGGTGTCCATCATGCTGTGGATCTACCGCGGTTTCCCACTGCGTAAAGTGCCCGGCTACGTCTTCGCCCAGGTGCTTGGCGCCTTCCTCGCGGCCCTTATCTCCTACGGCCTGTACCGCACTAGCATCTTGGCATACGGCGGCGCAAACCTGGCCACGGGCGGCACGGCCAACGCGTTCCTGACGAACCCGCGCTACGCCTACATTGACGCGTCGACGGCCTTTTTCAACGAGTTTGTGCCCACGGCCATTCTGGCCATTGCCATTCTCGCGCTGGGTGACGACACGAACGCGCCACCGGGCGCGGGCATGAGCGCCTTCATCATGGGCATGGTCATCACGTGCGAAAGCATGGCGTTCAGCCACGGGACGGGCAACGCGATGAACCCGTCGCGCGACTTTGGGCCGCGGCTGGCGCTGCTGGCGCTGGGGTACGGCGGGGGCACGTTCCGCAACGCGTGGTGGGTGTACGGGCCGTGGTGCGCGACGATATCGGGCGCGGTCGTCGGCGGCGCCCTCTACGACGTTGCCATCTTTGTTGGTGGCGAGAGCCCCATCAACTACCCTGCGCGCCGCATCAAGCGCGCGAACCGCAAGTGGCGCAGGAAGTGGGCGCGGAGACTGCATTTGCAGAGGAGGGGTGGTGGCAGGAGCGCAGAGGTTCCTTTCGACAAGAGGTATACTTAGATGGGAGCGTTGTTTCCATATTTCGGATTTGTTGATTTACGACTATAGATGGTGGTTAGATGGGATGGATGGGTCAGAGGGCGGGTAATGCAATGCAGCGGATGGGGAGTGAGTGTGACGTCTTTGGATGCAAGTGCCCCGATACGGGATACGAGAGCAGCAGTCCTGTCCCGGGTGGGCGGATGTGCCGGGTCTCCGCAGATTAATTAACCCCCACGTCCCCACTCCCCACTCCTCTCCGCACATCATCTTACATGCCTACGTAGGTACCGCACCTACCCCACCAACCCACCAACCAACAACACAACGCCGACCACATCACCACACCACCCCCACCACCACCACCACCAACCAAATGCCACCCCAAAACACAGACCTCCCAGCCCTCGCCCACCGCCTCCTCACCTCGGGCCCGCACCGCACCCTCCCCGTCCCCGGCCGCCGCATCCGCATCCAGCTCAACGACACCTTCATCGCCGACACGACCGCCGCGCTGCTCGTCTGGGAACACCCCTACTACCCCTTCTACTACGTGCCGCTGACCGCGCTGCGCGAGGGCTGCTTCCGCACGCTGCAGCGCGTGGCGGCTACCATGGCGAGGGTGCTGGAAGTGCGCGTGGGAGAACGGGCAACGGCGCGCGTGCTGGCGTTCGATGCGGCGGGGACGCAGGGCATAGCAAAGCCGCTGCACGGCATGGTAAGAGTCGAGTTCGCCGCCGCCGACGCCTGGTTCGTCGAGGACGAGCAGATCCACATCCACCCCAAGGACCCGTTCAAGCGCGTCGAGTGCGTGCGCTCCGGGCGGGACGTCGTCGTCTCCCTGCACAACACCGTCCTTGCCCGCTCTTCTGCTGGTGGGGCCGGCGCAGTGCACCTCTACGAGACCGGCCTGCCAACTCGTTTCTACCTCCCGCTTACTGCTGTCAGCGAGGGCGTGCGCCTTCGCCCCAGTGAGACGGTCACCAGCTGCCCGTACAAGGGCGACGCGAACTACTACGACGTTGTTGTGGGGGACCAGACGCACAAGGACCTGGTCTGGTGGTACAAGTGCCCGACGGTCGAGTGCGCGGCTGTGGCCGGGTTGGTGTGCTTTTATAATGAGAAGGTCGATATTGAGGTTGGTGGCGTGAGGTTGGAGAGGCCGGTTACGCCGTTTTCGTAGTAGGTAGGTGTGGGGTGAGGGGTGGGGGGTGCTGTGTACCTATGTTTGCTGCTGTGTGCTGGGGTGTGGTAGGTGATTATCCGCGATTCGATTCTAATGCGCTTTTGGTTGCTGGCTTACGAGTACGCACGCACGCACGCTTGGTTTCATTTGCATACCTAGGTCTGAGCCTTTGCGTTCTCTTTCAGTTGTACATACCCTTCAGCCGTTGGAAGCACCTTCGGAGGACCCCTCAATCTCCACAAGCCACGGCAGAAGCTCGACATCCATAGGTAACTCCACATTCACCCTCATACCGTAGCCACGACAATTGTCTAAAAGTTCTATTATTCTAATTATCTCATGACCATCATCATACACACCCAGGCCCAACCGACCTAGTTGCTCAGCCAGCCCGAAGGACCGGCCCACGTGCCCTTGACGTACGACTTCCAGTAGACCCAGGGGAAGAAGTCCTTCTTGAGGTGGTAGAAGGCGCGGCTGGGGTTGGCCTGGTTGAAGCCGAACTTGGCAAACGTCTCCTTGGGCTCGCCGCCGTACTTGAACTCGCACAGCAGCACCTTGCCGTACTCGGTCAGCAGCGGGCACGACGCGTAGCCGTCGTACGACGCCGCCGGCTCCTTGCCCTCGAGCGCCTGCACCAGGTTGCGCACCAGCACGGGAGCCTGCGACGTTATGGCCGCCGCCGTCTTCGAGTTGGGCAGGCTCGACGCGTCGCCCGCCGACCACACGTTGCCGTACTTGGTGTGCCGCGTCGTGTGCTGGTGCACGTCGACGTAGCCGGCCTCGTTCGCCAGCGCGCTCTCCTTGACGAACGCGTGCGGACCCATCTTCGGCACCACGTGCAGCAGGTCGAAACGCCGCTTCACCTGCTCCTGGCCGTCGGGCCGCGCGAAAGTCGCCGTGTTGCCGTCAATGGCCACGAGGTCGTGCGTGAACAGGCCCTCGACGCCGCGGTCCTGGCGCATCTGCTCCAGCGCCGCGCTGTACTTGGGCACCGCGAACATGGACCCCATGCCCGTCGCAAAGGTGATCTGGACGGGCGACCCGGAGGGGTTCTTGGCGTCGTACAGGCCCGCGCGCTTCCAGTGGTCCAGCGCCAGCCACATGATCTTCTGCGGCGCGCCGGCGCACTTGATCGGGCCGGCGGGCTGGGTGAAGATGGCCGAGCCCTTGCTGAAGGGCTTGATGTCGCGGAAGACCTTGTCGCAGTAGTCGTAGCCGTAGATGGACGAGACACGCGAGTCCGGGTTGTCGAGGGCCTCGGGCAGGCCCTTGACGCTGCCAAAGTTGACCTTGACGCCGGGAGCGACGACGAGCTGCTCGTAGGCGAGCTTGTCGCCGTTGGCCAGGGTGACGAAGTTGTCGTCCGGGGTGAAGGAGCCGACGCCGTCGTTGTAGAACTTGAGCTTGGGGTCGACGAGGCTGGCCAAGGGCCTGCGCAGCTCCTCCTTGGTCTTGAGGCCGCCGCCGACCATGGTCCAGCCGGGCTGGTAGTGGTGCCACTGCGCGGGGTCGACGACGGCAATGTCTTCGCTGGAGAAGTTGCCCGTGCGCAGCAGCTGGTGGCTAATGGCCAGACCGGCGCTGCCGCCGCCTATCACGACGACTTTGTGGTTGCGGGCGGCAGAGGTCACGGGCGACACGGTCGCGTAGCTCCGCAGCGCTGCCATGCCCGAGCGCGTGGCCAGCGCGACACGGTTGCGAAACATGATGGTGGCGTATGAGATGAGGTGGTGTTTGATGACGAGGGTTCAAGCGGAAGAGAAAGAAAGCAGCTGAATGAGCAAATGACAGTCGGGCCGCAGCGCACGGGACGGACGAGTGGGGTCGAAGAGAATGGACAGGTAGAAGAATGCTTAAATAGAGAGAAAGACGGTACAAATAGGGCCAGAGAGCACGAGGAAAACCCTTCTGCGCCTGCACGGGCCCGTGTGGCGTGCCTGGCACGTGATTTCGTGAAGATACTAATTATAGGCCCGATGTCCCCCGCTCCTCCACAACCCGCAGACCTCGAGCCAAGGCAACAGCAAACAAAAAAAATATGCCATCAACGAATCGCCTTTCCGTTGAAGTACTACAATTGTCGTTGCAGCCTAGATTGGTCGATGGCAGCACATTCGTCTAGGCAGCAAGTATTGACCAAGCATGAATAATTCCCCAACGAGCAATTCCTGTCTACAAGCTTATTTAAAGACAACGACGAGCAAACAACTACTCTTTCACCATCCCAACACCCTCCACCAGCCAAATGCCCTACAACGTATACATAACCTACCACCACGGCGTCATCCAGCACGTGCGCATCTTCATCGAGACCAAAGAAGACGGCAGCGGCAAGATCTACCACGTCACAGGCACCGTGCTGATGGGCATGGAGTTGCAAATCCGCGATGCCTCGCGCCCCGACGACTCCGCCACGTACATACCCGGAACGCAGACGCTGGTCGGCCGCATGCACGAGGCCGACTTGGCGCGCTTCGAGGCGGCGGCGAGGGCTGTGCCGCCGCCTGGCGCGCAGGTGAAGCTGAATGGCAGGCCCAAGGATCCGACCAAGCCTGTTCGTCGCTGTGGGGAGTGGGTCGAGGAGCTGAAGGAGAAGGCTATTGCCGAGGGGATCGTCACGCCTTCAGAGGTTTAACGGCATTCCTTCAGAAGACTACACATCGCAATAAAACTCATCTACAAAGTACATCTAATTGCGTCCCAGAAGTCGTCTTCCGACCGTAGACGACCAGAAATTTGCCGGCCCTCACGTGGTGCTCCTTTACTACCAATCCAGTCCCAACGTCTAGTAAAACAGGATACTCCGTATCATCTGCATCATCAAGTACTCTTCAGGGTACACATCCAAAACCCGCTGCGCCAACTCCAACCAATCCGGAAAAAACCTGCCCGCGACAGTTGAACTACAAAACTCCCAATACTCCGGATACCAGCCCGCCATCTCCCAGTCCACAATCTTGATCTCAATAACCCCACTGCCACTGCCACTACCATCCGGCTTGACCCCCGTCCTATGCACCAAAATATTCTTCGCCCTCAGATCCCCATGCGTAAACACAGTCCTATGCCCATTTAACGTCCTCGAAATCAGCGTCCGCAACAACGCCAAATGCGCTGCCGGCTCCGTCTCCGCCAGCCTCCGCAAAATAGCCTCGTTGAACTCCTCCTCTGTCTCAAAAGGCCCCGCGACAGCCGCCTCCTTCCCTCCCGTCACAAACACACCATCGGGAAGCGCGCGCCGGCCCACCGCCCCCAGAAACCCAGGCGCTTCCATCCGCCGCAGGCCCTCCACTGCCGCCCGGACTTGGCTTCCGACGTCCAACTTCTCGGCTCCTGTCAGGCCCGCCCACACGGCCCCGAGCGGCCGCCCTGGCACAAAGTCCATGACGATGAAGCTAGTGCCTGTCTCGCGCTCGGTGAAGGCCGCATAGACCCGTGGCACCGGGACGCTGTTGTTGTCGCTGTGCGCGCCCACGTACGCCATGCTCTCGGCTTCCAGCAGCGTCACGCCGCGCCCGAACTTCGCGGCCAGGCCGTCGCGGAGCTTGACGACGGTCGCGGAGGCGTCGGGGGCGCTGAGGATGTGGGTGCTTGCGCGGATTTCGTCTACGGTTGGGATTGGGATGGCGCGATCAAGCATTTTGAGGCGCTGCGTGTGGGTTGTGCTGGGTAGGTCGTTGGCGGGAGGGAGGGAGGGAGTTGGTTGCTTTGCTAAGCGCGGGACGCTGCGTTCGCGTGCGCGTGCGTTTGGCGTTTTAGGTACTTACTCGCATGTGTCTTAGTCAGCGGTGTTCTCCGGGTGGAAGAGACGCTTGTTTATATGTAGTCGGCTCAGCGCTGAGGCCGTTATTTGCGCTGAAGTTGAAAATGCGATCGAGCCCGAGTTTGGAACAAAGGATAGATAAGGTAGGGACTTGAAGGAGTTGGAGAAAAGCACGAAATGTATGAGAAGAAGAAGATTGTAGATGTTTAGGAGAGTGGCGTGGTCTATGGAATGCCTGGAGATGTGCATATGAGAGATACCTCTTTTGTGATTCCGGTTTTGGAAATAGCAAGTAGATAATTGCTATAAAAGCTATTAATTTGCTAATTAAGGGCAAACCTGTTATTGTCAATTTAACTCCTTGCATCTTTCGGGGAACACCATTTTTAGAAAGCATAAACATAAAGCACCCCGAGACCTACGGAAGGCCTAACCTAACCTAGCTTGTAACCCCTGCCGGTCTAAAAGCTGACACGCAGCAGGATTAGGCTGTTGTCTCACGGATTTTCGGAAGTACAGCAGCAGCAGCGTCGGTGACCGAGACGCCCAGCTTATTGGCTGCGAAAAAAATAAACAGAGTAAACTCGGCCCCCATCTCGCGCGTGGGGTCAGTAGGTAATGCGCTGTCTCACTGCCCGGAACTTTGGGGCTCATGTTTTCGTCAGCCTCAGATTCGCAGCTTATGTGGAAACGGAACAGCGCTCTTGTGCTACGGTAAGCTATCTCTGGACCGCTCTCTCTGCTCGCAGAATGTACTGTTGAATTTTGGTTCCTGCGAAATAGTCTCGTGTGTGGTTCATTGTCATAGTTGACTGGACCGTAATAACTGCTTGACACTGTTGATAGTCGCAGAGAGCTGTGTAAAGGTATCGCCTTCCTCCTTCCCCGTATCCCATCGCTCCTGTACCTGCACGGCCCGAAAAAGCGCTGGCGTAATCGACTTCGTCGCGTCCCATGGCATCTGCGTTTGGCAGTTTAAGCCGCTCTCGCTCGCGTCCATGTCGCTGGCAGTGGGCAGGTTCAATGCTTTGTGCAAACGCTCCAGCACGTGTTCTATGACTTGGACTACAAGCGAGACCTCGAGCACCACTCCAGCAAAGGGCTGGAATGACCCCAGTTTGAGGTTTGGAAACAGCCGGAAGTTGCCCGTGGGCGCCGGTCCGGGTAGGAGAAATGTGCGGAGGTCCGTGAAGAAGAGGTGGAAAGTGCGGGCGATGCGCAAGTAGCAGGAGAGTACCAGGAGGGCTGTGGGCGTATCCATGCACGCTTTTTCTGCCTCCGGGAAAGAGTAGCCCTTGATGTCTGCGTTTGGCGTCCAGTCGCTCGCGATTGATGGCGGTGGAGCATCCGAGAAAGCTGCCGATATCGCGCTGTCCGGGCTGGAACCGGATGCCGACACGGTCATTGTGTCTGCGATGCTAAAGTCGTCGTTGAGAGTCGTGAAGTCACTCCATGACACCAAGTCGTCGTCCCTGACGCTCGAAGAGGGCGAAGAGAATGCGTCGACGAGCTCGATCAGCCTTTGTGCATTCCCCAGCATTTCTCGAACGGGGTATTCGTGCAGCCGCGAGAAAATTATCTGCTGTTCTTCGCTTATGTGCTTGCGCATCCGCTCCAGTTTTCGAAGCAGCTCGTATTGCGAGTGTGCTAGGTTGAAAAGCTGCAGCATCTGTCCATCGCGGGCGTCACTGATTCCTGAATCCTCTCCGGCGGTCGTTCCAGCACTCGTTCCAGTATTCGGCGATGCGTAATCGGATTCCCAGTCTTCCTGCGTAAACTCGGGTGTTTGGTAGCCGGACTCTAGTTTCGTGAATAAATCGGGCTCAAAGATATGGGCCGTGAGATCAATGTCTCCAGTAAAAGGCGTCTCGAGGTCCGTGGCCAGCGGGAAATCTGGCAGAAAATCGGGAATGGGAATGTCCGCAAGTCCTACCGGAGTAGGAATCAAAAGCTCCTGTTTCTCCGTTCTTGTGTCTTGCTTTTGTCCAGAGCGGCGTCGGTTGCGGGCCTTCTGGGCACGGGGACCTGTGTCAAACCTAGACGGTCTTCCCATGCGGCTCGGTGGAGAGTAGATGCATTGAGCGGACAAGCGGAGGCAGCGATCGCAGTCACTTCCTGCCTTGGGGTTTACGGTCCGTAAGCAACGCAGCTTTTGCTCGTGGCAGCGATCGCAGGCCATCCGGCGACGCGGTTTGGTGGTACAAGAAGCGTGCTGCTTGGCTCGGAGATCCCCGGAAGACATGGATGGCGATGAGGTGTTCGAAGACATGACAAGGATACCCTCGGACGGGAAGCTTCGCCGTGCGTTAGTGAAGGTTTGGCAGAACACAAAGTAAACCGAGGAAACTGCATCAAGTCCCTCTTCGGGCAGGCCCTTATAAGGCAGATTAGAAGTAGTGACTGAGTAAGCATATTGAAACAAGCAGAGGTGTTGTTGTAAGAAAATACAGGATCGTGGGGCTGGTCCAGTCGTTTCCCCCACGAGGCGAAGCTGATGACGGTTAGGCAATCTCGAAGGAACAAGCAACATGGGTCCAGAGCAACAAAGTGCAGGGGTATGGAAGCGTTCATGACAAGGAATGCCAATCTCGATTTCGATGCCGTGGGGTATGTCCTAAGTTCGGGACTGCATAATCGGCTTATCTCCAGCCTTGCCACGCAACTGCAAGACGACTGTCGTCGCGCGTGTTACAGAAATATAAATTTATCTGATTGCGTGTGTACGGCATATGTTGTGGGTCTACTACTGAAACAGAATTCTGGACTTGCTTTTTGGTGTGTTTTCCAGCTAGTAGGATTCGTCGTTATCCATTATCAGCACCGTCTGACCCGGTGACAATAGTTAGTCCGACGGACTATCAAGTTCCTGGATTACCCCAAATCGGGGCAATCTGTACGTCATTGTGCAACGGAGTGCCATCCGAATAAGTCCGGGCCGGAGCCCAGCGTCTCCGGGGCCGCTAGAATGGAGTAAGCGATGGCGTTATTGCATATTGCGTGCAGATAACCATGTGATTGGTGCAAAAGGAACGCCCAAGCTTAGTCGAGCGGGAAAGGCGATCGCACGGCTATCTATAATCTTGCCAGCCTTTCCAGGCGAATGGTGTGGACTTGATAGGGTCCTTTTTGTTTGCCGACCGAGCTAATCATTCTCGGCTGGCTGCAGGGTTTCGGTTCTGTTTGCTGTTCTCGGGTAGGTTGTCAGCTTACTACATATGCGAACACAGCCTCCGGTGCGACGACCAGGATCTTAGCGACAGATGTGCGTAAGACGGCTAGGGCCACCCGCGTGGGATTGATCCTCTTGTTGGCGCCCCACATCAATTACGTGCTGCAAGGCCGCGATGGACTGGTTGCGTCTCAATGGTCCCGTTATGGCGTTCTCATAAGATAGCGGCATCCGCTGGTTACCGGTCAAGCTTCTCGTCATTCTGCAACTCCTTTGTCAATGGACGCCAAACTTTCTTGCACAATCACACCTCGGCGCTTGATAGGGCTGCACAACCTGAACACAAGTCAGCTATCTCAGAAGGGGTCCAGCGGGAGAGGTGCGGTCGCCAGATTGGCCAGAGGTACTTTATCTGACTTTGTAAATTCGCCCATTGAGATACAATCGAGAAAGACCCGAGGTATTTTTCGACCATATCAGACGCCTTCAGTGAGGACTGGTAAGCGACAGCATTAGATTTGAGGTTTCGTCGCAAGCGTATTACAGTCCGATGAAGACCAGAAAGCCTGAGATAGGTCGCTGCCATTCGTCGAGGCTATGGGAGCGATGTTTCTGCAAAGATTATAGTGGGCGGTCGCTCGGCGGGGATGTGTACGAGCTTTGGCCGACAGTGAGCTATACTGTTGACACGAACGCACTCACTGGCTTCGAAAAACGCTAATGTTTAAAGGTACTGTCTTCCTAAGCGCTAGCCTTATTGTATTGATGCTGGATGATCGTGCGGCTCTGCCATTCGTTTCAAAACTAATTCAGCAGGCTGTTCTTGAGATGCATGCGTGCATCCTTTGCCTATTTATCTTCATGAGACTTAAATTATACACTCGGTTATAGCCTACATATATGCCGAATGTCGCCGAATCGGAGCCGCAGTTGACAATAATGAGGCTTACAGCGATCTCGCCGACTCGGTTAAAACAAAGCTCGCCTTGCAGGTACTTCTTTTTGCGGCTTTGGGGTTACAGGTCAAGCAGTGGATGACAGTGACGCCTCAAAAATTCTCCTCTTGACTTACTGCGTAATCAGGACACTATGGTACCTCGAGAAGCACAGATATCTTGGTCTTTGAAGAGAAATGTATGCTTATTCTATTTAAGAAACTGAATTCGGCTTCACGAAGTGATTGATCGATACATTTTACAATCATAGCATGCATTCATGTGCTAGCCATAAAAATGCAGTAAACACAAGTTCCTATAAGGTGTTTGGCAACCCCCACCCTCCGCCTCCAGGAGTGTTTATCTGCATTACTTCGCCAGCCTGCAGGATCAGCGCAGCTTTCCCACCGATATTGATTTTATCCAGGTCTGTGTGGTCTTCGTTCCATTTGAAGACGTAATTCTCCCCTGAACGTCCATCTCCACCACCGCACAAACCATACGGCTTGTAGACTCGTCGGTCGCTGAGGATACTGAACTTCAACTCCCTCCTCGCCTCTATCTCGCGCACACAGCCATCGCCTCCATTAAACCTCCCCCGTCCACCAGAGCCGCGGTTAATAGCGTACTGTCGCACGACCACCGGTGTGCGTTTTTCAATAACTTCTGGGTCGGTGTTCTTGGTATTCGTGGAGTGGCACTGCGTGACATGCTCTCCATGCCAATTTGGGCCTGCCCCGGTACCGCCGCCCAGACTTTCGCCGTAATTCCAACCAGGGGTTATCTTGCCAGTAGCAAGATCCCTGCCGCCCATGCCCCATCCAAAACTGTTGGCGCAGCCCTGGGAAGCAGCAACACGGCCGTAAGCTCTCAAAATAACATCGATGATTCGTTGGCTGGCGAGAGTGCTCCCGCAGATAGCGGCGTTGGAATTTGGCCTGAGGATAGATCCTTTCGGAATTTGTATATCGACCGGGGCAAGGCAGCCCTCGTTCAAAGGAATGTCCAAATCGATTAGGCAGCGAAGTGTGTAGATGACAGAGGAGTGTGTTACAGAGATTGGGCAATTATAATTGCCCCAAATCTGCGTCCCTGTTCCAGTGAAGTCGTACACGGCGTCACCTGTTTCGGGATTGATGGTAATAGTGACTGCGATTGGTGTGCCATCGTCGAACCAGTCCACCGCTCTTAGAGGCTCCGGGTGCTCTCTTGCTACTTCAATAAGAAACTTGCGCACCGCAGCCTCCGCGTTCGTCTGGATACCGCCCATGTATTGATGTACCACGGGTAGGGTAAACTCGTTGCACAGGTTTGATAAGAGTAGCATCCCGCGTTGGTTTGCGGATATCATCGCTTTCAGATCTGAGATGTTGTCTTGTATCCTCCGGGTCGGACTGCAGCCGGGAAAGCTGCCGGCGTGCTCGAATGCCGCACGCACGTCGTTTTCGAGGAACTCTCCTTGGCTCACGATCTTCATCGACTTGACACTTAAGCCTTCTTCCCATAGTTCTTTGGAATCCGGCATCATCGCAGTGATGCCTTTTCCACCAATGTCAGAATGATGCCCACGCGAAGCGACGTAGAATGCAAGCTGTCCGTCTTCGGCAAATACGGGTGTCACCCCTGTAAGATCTGGCAGGTGTGTTCCACCAGCTTCCGGATGATTCGTTAACAGGACATCGCCACGTTCGAGCTTTCCATGCCAGAGTTCATGCTGATACCGGATCGCAAATTGCATGCTGCCAAGGTGAATGGGAATGTGAGGCGCATTGGCTACCAGCTTGCCGTCGGGTGCAAAAATGGCGCAGGAGAAGTCGAGTCGCTCTCTTATACTTGTCGAAATTGACGTACGCTGTAATGTATTCCCCATTTGCTCTGCAATGCCCATGAAGCGGTGAGCAAAGACAGAGAGCTGAATGGGATCGATGTGGTTAGCGGGCAATGGCTGTACCATCTGGTTTGAATCCGATTTCGTGAGGACAACATGGTTCGAGAGGAGATGAGCGCGGAACCCTGGTTCGACAAATATAGTCTGGGTATTGTCTATTATCAAGGCGGGACCCTTTTGAACAAGTCAGTGACTAGTTCGCAGATTCCGTATCTTGCCTTGCTTACCTCAAGGAACCGGCATTCGAGGGTACCTTCAAGCTGGTATATTGGAATATCAACCCAAGAACCGTTAATGAAAGATTTTTGCCGGGCAACGTTTCCTGAAACGGCAATTGATGACTGGCTGTGCTTCAGTTCTGAAAAAGGGGCCTCCTTTGCAGCTGGGATGCCAGAACTGCCTGTTCCTCGGACCGAAACTGCGTCTACAACAACTTGGCGCGACATTTTGAAAGCAAACTCCCTAAGATGCGTAACTTCAAAAGCTTTTGCATAGTCTTCATCTTCTGGCTTGGAAATTGAGATATTCGTGTCCGTCCCAAAGTACCGAAGACTCAAGGATTCGTCAAATGTGATTGAAGCATCAAAGGCGCCTTGTGCCAGAAGCTCACTACGTACTTTGGCCTTCAGTCTATCAACCACTACATTGATGGTGTGAATGATGGCTCTGCTATAGTTGCCGACGAAAGGCTCTGAGAGCTCGTACTGCAAGCGAGCGTGGGCGATACCATAGGCAGAAAGCAGGGATGAGTGTTTATGAATGAGAACCTGCTTTATACCTAAGTTATCCGCAATTGCACAGGCATGCTCTGTTCCCATTAGTATACAGACGACTGAAAACTGGCTAAAATGAACTTACGGCCGCCGGCACCGCCAAAGCTGGCCAGGTTATGTTTGTCGGGAGCAAACCCTCGAGCTTCTGTGTACTGTAAGAGCTAATTCATATTGATGTTTCAGTTATAAGTAGGCTTACCTGTTGCATTTCTAATGGGACGGCTCATGGTTGTGTTGGCGACTTGTATAAAACCCAGCGCGAGTTCCTCGGGTGTATATTGTTTCGACGCCTGCTTGTTCATGCCATTGGTGAGATTCTCAAATATTTTCTTTACAATCTCGGTATCCAAGGGTTGGTCCGCGTTCTCTCCAAAGATTGCCGGGAAAGACGACGGAACGAGCCGACCAAGGAAAAGATTCGCGTCCGTCACAGTTAACGGACCTCCTTTTCTGTAGCACGCTGGACCAGGATGAGCGCCAGCACTCTTCGATATATTAGCAAATGGTTATCTAATAAGGGGGATTTTTTTTACCTCTGGTCCAACAACAAGTAAGCCATTGCGTGTTGACAGAATGGACCCACCCCCAGCGGCAACAGTTACAATATTAAGCATATGAGCACTGACGACTCTGCCTGCAAGTGTTGTTTCATCAAGATAATCGTACCTGCCGTCGTATCTTGAGATATCGGTGCTGGTTCCACCCTGTGCATGTTCAATATAATTTCAAAGATATGCGTGGTCACACTTACCATGTCAAACCCAATCACAGGTGTTCCCTCTTCCTCATCGTAGCAAGTTTGAACAATGCCGACAATTCCGCCTGCAGGGCCGCTAAGAAGTGCCTCATTGCCTCTATACTTTTCTGCCTGCCTCAAACCGCCATCGGAGCACATGAAGTCTACGCGTCGAGGAGGGACTTTGAATCCCGACTGAAAGTCCTGTACGTACGCCTGTATAATAGGATACAGGTAGGCTTCTGAGCATACGGAGGTACTCCTGCGCAGATACTTGATAGTCGGGGCTGTGTCTGCAGAGGTTGTCACGTACTTGAACTGCTCCTCTCTAGCCAAGTCGGCGACGATTCTTTCATGATCCGGAAAGAGATAGGAGTGCATAAAGCATATCGCCAAGGATGAATAGCCTTGCTTCCGTAGAGTATGAAGTTGTTCCCGAGTCCTATTGACGTCCACAGGCTTGATAATACGAATGATCTCGCCGCTAGCCGTGCGGATGAGTGCCGGGTCAGTAAGCTCGGCTGCTTTGTCCGTTGGAAATGGATCGAGATCGTAGTCTTCCACAGTGGCTCTTTCGTCTATCTCAATAACCTCATGGTGCAGAGCTTCTGCTTTTCTGACATCAAGCGCAAAGAGCTTCGGGCGAGTCTGATCACCGATGACACAAACATCACGAAAGCCTTTTTGCTATATTAGTATAGTGTCGAATGGCTGGAATGAGCCTGACCTTTAGTAGTTGCTAAAGCAAATTTCTCGCCTTTTTGTTCCAGCAGGGCGTTGGTAGCAATGGTTGTACCAATACGGCAAGAAGCTGTTGGCAAAACCCGGCTTTGTTGTTAGCAATGTTCTTTAAGATGGATAAGTAGATCGGATAGTTCTTTATAAAGCTAGAAAATTCAATGGCATACCAATGCGAGAAGCATCTAGCAGTTCCCCACGAGTGATTGCACGGGATTCGGCAACCTCCAAGATGCGTCGAATGGCTTCGGTTGGTGCATCGTGGTAGTTCTGAGGATCAACAGAGAGCAGTTTGAAGATTATGTCCTTCTGACCATCGATTCGTGCAATAACGTCGCAAAATGTACCACCGCGATCTAAAAAGTTAGTTTGACTACATTTTAAAGTGGGGTGGCATGAAAACCTATGGCGATATCGATATCGGGCTTGAGGCCTGTCATGCTCAGCAATGTTAGCACTTTAATTCCTATAAAATCCGGCAGACGTGGTTTTTGGGTAAAGCCTTTTGTCGGAATGTACCCTCAGAAATGGGTGGCCTAGTGGTTGAATTAGATGACGTGATTGCGGTTGATTCCCGAAGGGGAAGGTGGTTAAAGAACTGCCCCGCATTCGTAAAGACACGTGTCGTTCCCACTATGCCTACCTATCTTATCATATTACCTAAAATTACGTATGAAGCATAACTCCTTCTTGCAAATCCGACCCTAGCTGTAGTTGTTGTTGATATATAAGTATCAAACTACGTTTCAGACTTCCGCAGACCATTTAAAGCAACTGTTACAATCCGTACCTGAGCTTGACTACTTAAGACCCCGCCTCTTCGTCGGCTTCAGCAACTTTACCAGCCTTCTCAGCGTATCTCTGCACCAGATCAATTCCAAATCCACACATTAGTGTCAGAAGAATAACAAAGACCAAGCCACTACTCCAGGAGTGGGATTCTTTGAATTGTGGCGCCTTCGAGCTCGGAAAAAGGTATTGCTGATACGGCGTGACAATGCCGTCGCCAAAACTTCTCATAAAACCAATAACAAAAGCCCGGAGTTGCTGGTCATTGCCGCAGACGCTGTTGGCCCAGCCGGCCAGTAGTGGCGAGAAACTACCATAGCATCCGGAGAGGATGAAAGCTGCCATCTTTAGACCAGTGGGTACATCCCAGATGACGAAGACGATATAGCAAAATGCCAACAATGTGCCGAGGAAAATTGCAACAGGTCCGGGGCGGCCCAGTTTGTCGGTTACGAAGCCAGTCAATATCATGAAGACAACATTGACAGCACCCATTGATGTAGGGATGTTATTAATCTTTGTGACCGGATAGTTTTCTGCCTTCAGCCATGCTTGAAAGAATTGCATGATATAAGACCCTGCAGTGAGAGACCAGAAGAGCCAACTAGAAGGATGATATCAGCATACGCTTACTATATTGGGTTTCTCGTACCTACGCCATGGAGAATGTGTATAATTGCCATGATGTGAAGATCCTGCGGAAAACGGTTAAGTCGAATTTGCCTGTGGGGGCCCTTCCATCTTGCTCAATCCTTTGCATCGCTTTTTTCCTCTCCCATTCGGTCAGGTAAAATGCCTGGGTCGTGTGAGGGGTGTCAGGGAAGAATATCTACTGTTCTCAGTGATCAGTTCTTAAGTAGGTAAGGAAAAATTACTCACAAGTCCGTAGATGACTACAGGAATGCTCAGTATGAAATCAAATATAAACAGCCACCGCCATGCAGAAAGCCCACCCTTTCCTTGCATGCCTTTGAATAGGGCAGACTGCAAATATCCCGAAAACATCTGGCCGAGGGCGCCGGACATGACAAACAAAGAACTACGGCGAGCGAGTTCCGACTTTTTGTACCACGATCCTAGTACCCATAGGATGCCTGGCCAAGCAGCGGATTCAAAGAGCCCGCAACAGAACCTCAACGCGTAAAACTGCTGTGCTGTGTTGCATTTGTACAAAAACAGGACAAAGAGGGACCATGTAAGGAGGCAGCCTGTCAACCAGTAGCGCGGCCGCACGACAGAAATGATGAGATTGGCCCATGGTCCGCCGATAATCTGGCCGACGTTGAAAAAGGTGTTCATCCAACTCAGTTCGTTTCCAGGACCAAATCCAAGCTCTTCTTTCATCCCAGAGACATAAGCATTTGAGACATTGTTGCCATCAAGCTGCTTAATAAAGAAGCAAAGACAGCCGTAGCTTAGCAAGAACCAGTCCATTTTGAATATAAGCTTCTTCTCCGCTTTTGAAGTGCCAGGATCGTGCCAATGGAACCAGCCGGCCTCTTGAGATTGGTCTTTGACATGAGCTGTATCTTGATTGGACCGAGTAGGCGTCAAAACGGACGAGTGAGTTTGGACCTTATCGCTCTTTGGATCGGTTAAATAATAGTTCCTGCCGGAATGGTGCTGAGAAGATAACGTCATTTCGAAATATCAGAAGTAGACATCCACTTGAACGGAAAAAGATGGCGGAATGGCTCTTGATGCCACCAATAATAGCCTGAAAATCTATAAATTGTTCCTAGTGTAAATAGTAGTTCAAGAGAAACAAGGGCAAGGCCAAGCACGTAAGCAAGCCCCACTGGAGGCGTGCTCGCCGCCATGCCTTATTAGGTGATCCTTATCGGAGAAATCGTTGATCACGGGATTAAGCTGCATGGCGCCATAGTTACACAAGCCGCTCGATCGGAAGTTTTTCTGCAAGCATACAAGCCTAAATTATTTAAGCGTGTGATCCCGCTGGGTGGGGCACTGGAATTTTTGTGCAACACTTCCTGCCGATCGCTCCTAAATAATACGTCGACCCCGCAGCTGTGATTAGCTTCTGTCACCGTCAAGCGAGATCCCCCGTCGAACGAGATAATAGTGTGTGTATAGAGCAGAAACGAAATCTATTTAAGTTATTTGTAGTTATGTATACACCTAGAAATCTTCTTAGAGCTTTAAAACACTGCTAGGTAATTAATGCCGCTCGACGGTGACAGGCGTCAGATTGCAAATATATAGCGTGATTACTCAATGCTTTTTATTCCGTACTACTGTTTGAAAGATGATTATAACAAACCTTTGTTTTTAAAATCCAGCCAGCTATCTATGTCTTGCAGTCTCATCGTCACTTTATAGCAATATTTTCTTTACGAGGTATATTCACAGGATATATACGCTAATCGAGGCACAATCTAAACAGATCAAACGTCGAACCCTCTACCGCTAAGGACCAACCAGATCTGGGAATTCTGTCTCCATCCACGCGCAGCAATTGACAAATGCTCTCAACCATTCCAACTCTCTTTCATCATGCGGCATAGCTTTTATGCCTCGAGCTTGTATACAAAAAGCCCGAGTCTGTATACAAAAAGCAGGTTTACCGTCTCCTCTTTTTTCAAGAGCAGAGAAAGGTGTGTTCTCAGTACGATATACTGCATCTTTTCCAGCCTTACGCAGTTGTTCTCCCGTTTGGCCATGTTGGTAGACAAATGCAAGACCATCGATCGCCTTCTGAAGATCTGGGATGAGCTCAGTGGGATAGGTAAGAGATAGCCGGCCCATTGCGGTGTTTATTTCACCTGAGGATGAGAAGACCTCGGAATCACCGGCCGGAGGGAGAGGATGTGCAATAAGCACGTTGACAAAAAGCTGTAGATGCCGATCATAGGGAACAATGTTAGGGTGATAATTGCTGAAGCGATACCATGGGCGATATGGTACAGGTTGCTTTTTCCAATTGTATCCGAAGACAGCTTGATATCTCTGCCTGAAATTCCGGAAACCGAGGACTCGTTCAGCGTCGCCGTACAAGCGCTCGCGTTCGTGCTGGGGGTTACGGGAGGGAAGCTGTGGGGCAGCCGCTTTCTTCAAGAAGGTTCCATGAGAAGAATAGAGGTCGCCAAGTGCCCGAAGTTCTGCAGCTTTTGCTTTTTTCAGGAGCTGCTGCCCCCGCTCGAAATGGGGGAGCCAGAATTCAATCCGTTGTAGAGGCCATGGTCCGCGAAAGTGCTGGGCGTAGAGGGCCAAGGTTGTCTCGTCACGGGCCCCAGGTATGATGGTATGGTTGAACGAGGCATCAGTGGCCGAAATCTCTTCCCAGGGAATAAACATGCATAATGCTTTCAAGTCTTCGAAGTCCCAATCATAAGTAAAGAGCTGTTGAAACAGTTTCTCTATGAGACACGTTGTACATTCCCAGATTTTGGTAGTTATGCTCCCTGCATGAGCATCTCTTAGCTCCGGTACGCCCGGGCTCGAAGCTAAGAGCCTGGACAAATCGGTATAAACAGGTAATAGCCGGCAAGGGTTGGAGCGTTCGTTGGCGTTCTCAATATACAGATGGTATACTCGAATCCAGATTTTGTATGCATGAGTGGCGTCCGGGAGTTGTGGAGTTAAGATTTTACCCCAAGTCGGACTACCTCGGATTGCGGATACGAGGTAAGGACTACCGACGGCTGAGAGATTGAGAATGGCGGATAGCTTCAAATCGGAGAGAATGGGTTCAATGAGTTCGACTGGTAGCTGGTCTAGCTGAGCAGCTATTCGCTGGAATTTCATAGTGTCCCGAAGGTCTTCTCCTCTGCGGTAAAGCGACAAAAGTAAACGAGTTGAAGGATGTGTTGAGGTGGATGATGTTTTTGTTCCGGCTCTACCACTTGATATATCCTATGATATACTGTGCGCTGCGGAGCTACGGATCATAAATCACGGCGATGAGTCGACGGGCCGTAGACGATTTTATTGGGAAAAGATCTAAGATAATTCCGCAAGGCTGAATTGGCACGACGTGGTCATACGAGGCTGACATACGTCTTCTGCGATTAACTTTTCTTTGAAATGTATATACACTTGGCATGCAGCATGAGTGACATTGATAGGTGCATGTACGCTGTTGTGGTGACTCATGGTTCCACTTATGAGGCGCAGCCAAGCAGGCAACAGCGCTTGGGTTTCTGCCTTATGCGCTTCCAAAAACTAATGAAAATTCATGACTTCATGCTGTTAGGTGTAGCATTATGGTGTTTAAAAGAGACAAGCTCAAACGGAAAGAAGGAATCCTTCTATCTAATATCTAAACGCTTTTCCTCCTCCAACACTTCGCCTGAACTGCCTGCTCAATGCAATGCCTTTCTCACAAATGGCATCACTAAACAATGGCACCAGCCCAATGGCTATCGCAAAACAAATTCGACGCGACGCAAAGCTCTGTGAGAGCGACACAGGACGTCCGAGTTTGCTCGCCTTCCGACTACCCCGAGCATCGTCACGTCAGGCCCTAGCAATAGCGACGCACCTCGTACCTTCCCCAGACATGTCACCAGAGATCAAGAGACTAGTGTACAACAGCTTATTGGAGAGGATCCGAAACCATGAGATTCTCGCTCGTCGTGAACCAATTTGGACCGATGAAGAACTGGGGTGGACAAACAGCTATGAAGATGCAAGAGAACTAATTTTGGATGGATCCGAACTCGAGGCAGCGGCGATGGTGCTTCATCACCTTACCACGTGGTCGGATATCACGCCGGAGAGTACAGTGGCCGACGCCATAAAGGAAATTGAACGGCGTCTCAAGGCTTCCACGAAGGAGCCGTCAAATTCGAAGCCTGACCACTTACATGGCATGCCAGAGCCTAAGACAACTAGCACGCTTAGGGCAGCAATACCCAGAGGCTACACCATACGAAAACGGCTATGCTACATATGCCGATGCAAGTTCACCGTTCCTCATTCGACTTACCTAGCTCTTTGCGAGCCATGCGGAACATTCAACCTGGCAAACTCCAATATCTCTCTACCGAACGCGTTGGACCTTACCGGAAAAACTGCATTAGTCACCGGAGGGAGGGTGAATCTAGGGTACCACACAGCACTGCGCTTGTTGCGATGCGGTGCCAAAGTCATTGTTTCCTCTCGGTATCCACGCGACACGTCAACGCGATACGCATGCGAGGCGGACTCGAGCGCCTGGAAAAACAGACTGAAAATTGTAGGAGCCGATTTTCGCTCTGCGAAAGATGCGTTTCAGCTCGTGGCGCATGTAAAAGCTTTTTTGGAGGGCTGGGGAGAAAGCCGGCTTTATGTCCTGGTCAATAATGCCGCCCAAACTTTGACCGACCCCATTTCCAAGGAACAAAGCGCTATCCAGCGCGAGAACCTGCTGGAAGGGGACACGAGCGCGAGTCCGTTCATGGTTGAACATACATACCAAGCTCGGGTCCGCGGAGGTATAACACTCGCATTGGACAGCAAGACGGAAACGCCACTGCTCAAAGACACTGTCACAAAGCCCTCATCTGGCATTATAGAGGCCCCAGAGAATTCTCTTGGCCACTGCATTCCCAAGTCGTCATGGACGCAGTCTCTGCAAGAAATCCCATACGAAGACGTCATTTCCGCCCACTCAGTTAATACCTTTGTCCCCTTGATCCTGTGCCGAGAACTGATCACTTCGATGGGCTCTACTCAGGGCACACCCTCCGAATCCATCCCGCAAGGCTACATCGTCAATGTCTCTTCGCGGGAGGGCATCTTTGAGGGCAAGCCCGATTACAAATCACCCCACCACGTCCATACCAACATGTCCAAAGCGGCTTTGAACATGATCACCGAGACCGAAGCCGCCTCGGCCTGGCGCAAACGCCGCGTCGCCATGACCACAGTCGACCCTGGATACATGAGCGCAGCCCCGGAATTCGAGGACATGTATGATGGGAAGAGGCCGATTGGGTGGGAAGATGGTGCGGCCAGAGTGCTGTGGCCTGTGGCAGTGGGTGAACGCGAGGGACGGGCGGTTTGGGGTAGGTTCCTTAAGCACTTTGGTGCTGTCGAGGTGGATCCTGGGGCAGGAAGGTAAACAGTGACTCAAAGTTCATTCGACCGCTTTTGCGTTGATCAAAGTAACTTATAGCGTCAATGCGCCTATCCATGTTCATGTACAGTAATTGTATGTTGAAAATTATATTTACTCCTCAATTCTGCTTTTTTTGTTTCCACTCTCTTTTCCTCCTCTATGCCCTGCGATGACCCCGTCCCTTCGCCGCCGCAGCAGCCGCCTGCGCCTTCGCAACCTGCGCTGCCTGTGCCGCCTTAAGAATGTTGGCAATCTCGATCAGCGCATTCTTGGTGCGCTTCTCCTCGGCCTTAAGGGCGGCCTCGATCTCCGCGGGCGTCGGGATGTGAAGGCCGACTGAAATGGAGATGGAGCTGGAGCCGGACTTCGCCGTGCTGGTGGGGCAGGGCGTCGTGGTGGTAGTCTTGGCGGGAGTAGTGGTAGCTGGGCTGGAAATAGTGGAGGTGACGAGGGTGGAGGTGGGACTGTTAGCGCTGGTGGTCGTGCTGGAAGCCGTGCTGGAGCTAATAGCAGTGCTGGAGCTGGCAGTCGCGCTGGTGCTAGCAGCAGTGCTGGAGGCCGCAGAGGTACTGGCATCGGTGGTGATGGTGGCGCTGACAACCGTGCTGAAGCCGGTAGGAGTAGCATCGCTGGTAGCGGCAGTTGTGGTGAGCGGCATATCCGGAACATCGTCATTGCTTCCAGACACTACAGCAGTGGGCTGGGGAGACGGCTCGGGCGTAGGAACGGGAGAAGCTTCCGGCGTAGGAACAGGAGAAACTTCTGGTGTAGGGACGGGAGTAGCTTCCCGGGTAGGGACAGGAGTAGCTTCCCGCGTAGGGACGGGAGAAATTTCCGGAGTAGGAACGGGAGAAATTTCTGGGGTTGAGGGCGCTGTGACCATGGGAGGCGTGGACGTCGGGTCGGCTTCAACTTCAACGTCCGTAGCAGTGGGGGTAGGAGTAGCATCGCTAGCCGCAGTGGCAGTAATGGTAGGGGTACTGTCGAGCGGCATGTCTGGGACATCTCCGTCATCATCGCCTCCAGCCACCGAAATGACCGGCGAAACTTCTGGCGTAGGAAGGGGAGTAACTTCCGGCGTGGGGACAGGAGAAACCTCTGGCGTAGGACCGGGAGTAACTTCTGGTGTAGGAACGGGAGTGGCCTCTCGCGTAGGAACGGGAGAAATTTCTGGGGTAGGGGCCGGCTCTTCGTCGTCGTTGGTGGCGACGTCGGCGACACCGGCAGACTCGTCGCGCACGACAAGGTGACCAACGGCGGCAGAGCCATGAGGATATCTGACGGCTGCGAGGGCCGAGCTATCGGTGGTGCTGCCGGGTGTGACGGGAGCGGCAGCAGCACCAGCGTAGAGGCCGAGAGCGGCGGCGGCGAGGACGGTGGACTTCATGGTGATGAGAAGTTGGGGTATCAAATTAGAAGAAGAAGAAGAAGAAGAAGAAATTAGACAGTAGGAGTAGGAAGCGGCGATGGATCGAGCAACGGCTGCCGGACAAGAGCAGGCGTTGCGACGCCGTTATATACTTCGCCCACCGCTCAGAAGGAGACCATGCCCAGCGAAGAAGATTGTGGCGCGTGGCGCCGTTAGTAGAGAGCTGAGAAGAGTTGAGTTGAGAGTACCAAGCAATGAATCAAACTCAACTCATTCGCCGAAAGGGGCGTAGCAGCGGAGCGGCACGCGGCATCGTGTGGTGTTGCGGCTCTGTGCCAAAGGTTGTTTGGTTGAAGGTGCGCGAAAGGATCCGGGGTGGAAATGAGGGGCGGGCTTGGCATCGGCGGGGAGTCCGGCCGGACCGGCCCAGATCGTTCCATCTTCTTTTCACAGGCACCTCCACCTCCAACTGAATTGTCTCCCCTCCCGCCGCCATCAAGTCCAACAGCCTCGGTCGACGCGGTGGGCCTGAACGAGAATCGCATTAGCCTTGTCTGTCTAGCTAGCATCACCGCACCGCAGCACCTCTCCTCCGTCAACTCCGCTCACCGGGTCCGCAATGGTTTCACCGCCAACCCACCCTAGGAGTAGGTACTCATACCCAACGGCTGTTGGCACCCGCGGGGCCAACGCCGTCTCCGCGCCCTCGCCCGCCGGACCGCCCCGAAACGAATCCGCTGGCCCGTCGCTCCGCAATCCGTCCTTTGCGTCCCCACAAATCGTGCCGAGGTGAAAGATGGATGCCAAACATTCAGGACATATCGGGGTTTGAATGGAAATACAAACATTTGAGGCTGGTCAAATCACAGTTTAGTCTGAATAAGTCGTCAAAATAGGGGAGAAGTTACGCTACGAGTACTTTGATTGGCACTTGCACGAGCCGTACTCTGCCTGAGAAAGAGTCGATTGTGCTAGCAATCTACGGACATGCCAGAGGAAAGATCGGAGGTACTGCCAGTCACGCTGGCCGACCAAGTCAATCACCTCTGCCCTCTGCGGAGATACCAAAATCCCTTACACGGGCGTAACAACAGGAACAGTGATCTTGGAGATCTTCCAAGTCTTGCCGCCGTCTTCAGTGGTAGGGTCAGTGCTCTCAGCTCCGTTGTTCTTCATGATGGTGCTGCCAAAGTTCTCGTCGGCAGCCGACAGGCCGATGGTGATGTTGGTCCAGGTCTGCTCGTCGGTCAGGTAGGTGCAGTCGACGCATTCGACGGCCGTGTTGATCATGGTCACTTGCGGTGACTCCTTCTGGTAGGTGGCGAGGACGTCGCCGGTCTTCGCGTTGGTGGCGGTCCTGTTTAAACGTTAGTGACGCCGCTTTCGCTTTATTGGCAACGGAGACACTTACTGGACCCAGAGACGGCTCGACGAGTCGGTCATGGTGTAGTTGAAAGTAACGCCCTGCGAAGGGTTGGGGTCCAGGGTACGGAGATCACCAACGTATTGGTTGTAGTTGCCAACCTCGTCGCTCCATCCGTAAACCTCGGCGGAGATGCACCTGCGGCCGTTAGTCTTCATCAACGCAATCCGATCATGCAATACGCACCATTGGCTGTCGGCGTCCGAGCCAGTTCCACACTCGCTCTGCCCGTGGATGTAAGAGCCAACAATGCCCTGGATAAGGTCGCCGGTCTGGGTAGCGTTGTTGATGCCAATCCAGCAATAAAGACCACCATTCTGCTCAGCGGGCATCTCGCCGGGGTAGATGGTGGCCAAGACGCTGACGATTTCAGCGTCGCCGACCGAGGGCCCCAGCTCAACGATGGGACCCCAGGTAGTGCCGTCGCGCTTGGTCAAGCTCATCGGCTGGGCGCTGGCCACGGCCAAGAGCGGCGCGACCGCTGCAATCTTCTTGTACTGCATAATGATAGAAAAGAGTGTATACGATTGAGTGAAACGAGTGTGGTACCAGCCAAGAATTGAATTTAAGATTGATGCAGTTACTAGACTTCCAGGACTAACTGGGCCTTTATATAGCGCACTGCGCAGCTCTGTGCTAAAGGATCCTCGAATGGGAACGAAATCAAGTAACTGAAACATCTCGGACGTTTAGCATAAGAAACAACAAGGGTGTAAGGGCATCATGTCACCGTCGCCAATGGCGGAGAAACTCTCAACCATGCGGGGTTTTATTAGGTAACATCTCGAGAGGGTCATTAAAGCATTACGTGGGCACCTAATTAAAGATCACGGTAACCCGTCCCGTGGAATTATAGAGCTCGGTAACCCGTCCCGTGGAGCAGATTCCGGGCCTTCGGCACGGTTTCGATGTTCGGGAGATCTTCTCAAACAGGCTCAGACACTTCTGAGGCGCCGGCAGTTGAAGAGACCGGTTGATCGGATGATCTCGGGCGGCGCTTACGGATTACGCGAAGGGGGTCAATGTTCTTTAAGTATGGCCTTGTTATCACCTCGCCAGTCGATCGAAGATCTCAAAGTCCACCTACATCTCCTGCAACACGCGAGCATTTTTTCCTTTCCTATCAAAAAATTGTTTTCAACTCCCTGTCAATTTCTTTTTCTTATTTGTACGGGATTCACAGAGTAAAGATTTTCTTTGAGCTGATGCCACTGCGGCTCCCACACAAACGACACAAAAAGTAAACGTTAAGCTTTCAAAAAGCGCTTTACAATGCCTTATACGGGGAGACGACATTCCTGCAAACTGCACAATGCCGAAGCGTTGGAGCGTATTTGCTAGGAGAATGATGTAGAGCTCACTTTCACCTGCGAAGAACAAGCGGGCAAAAAACGGAAAGTTGAAAAGGAAGTATTGTTTCTTCATTAACTAATATGGTCGAAAGTAAAACAAACACCGGCTAGTGCAGAACCCGCTGCACCATCTTAAGCCAGGGTGTCCTTGTTGATCGTGATCTTGGCGTTCTTCCAGGTCTTGCCGCCATCGCTGGTGGTGAAGCCGTCGCTGGTGGCGCCAGTGAGGGACAGGGTGTCGCCGAAGTTGGGGTCGGCCTCGGACAGCTCGACGACGATGTCGGTGTACGAGTACGCGTCCAGCGAACCGCAGTTCTGGAGGTAGCACTCGTTGGAGCCGTAGAAGACGCCGGGCTTCATGCCCTCGCTGTCCGTCTGCTGCTGGTAGACCTCGCCGTCAACGTAGACGGTCTGCGTGACGGAGCCGTCGACAACAATCTCAAAGTCGACGGACGCGCCGGGGTCGAGGGGCTTGTAGCTATCGTAAGGTTGGTCTCAGTTGCGGTCTTTCTTGGAGAAATTGCAAGACTTACCCAGCAGGCAGCTGGCCCTGGGGAGTGTAGGTGCTGGTGGTGATGCACCACTGCTTCTCAGTGGCATCGCAGCCAGTGTCCTTCTGCGAGGGCGCCCAGTTGACTAACAATGCATGTAAGCAAATGATATTTTGAGGGTTGGACAAACAGCCGGGAATAACTTACGAAGGGGCTGGACGAAGTTCTCGTTCAGGACATCTCCACCGTTCGGGGAGTTCTGGATACCGATCCAGAAGGCGAGCTCCTCGTTACCGCCGCTGGTCGCCGCGCCGGTGGGCGTCTTGGGAGCCACCAGCGAGTACGTCGCCTTGGTGATGTAGACACCGTCGGCCGTCGGGCCGCTGTAGAACATGTTTCCATACTCGTACTGGCCGTTCCACGTGTGGGAATCTTGCGCCGCAGCGCCGCCAGCCAGGGCGGAGAGAAGGACAGCGGAGGTGGTCGTGGCGCGCATTTTGCTAAATTATTTTGGCGAGAGCGGGGTGTTGGATTGGGTACTGGCGCTGGCTTCTAGCATCATATATATAAGGATAGTATGTTAGGGGCCTAGTAAATAGGTGGAAGGCGCCTGCTCCACAGTGCTGCCGTTCTCCTGTTTCATGTTTACACTGCCAATGTTTCAATCTCAGCGTCGATTAATCTCCGTCGGAGAAATCGCCCGGAGTAACCGCCTGTTTCATGCATGCACGGATCTTGTGGTCTTGAACATTGCCGTACCTATAAATTATAGAAAAGGCATTCGCATGATGCATATAGAAATGAGACCGCCAAAAGTTAACATGCTAGCTACCATGCGACGTTCTCCAACGTCTTAGCATCACTCTCATCGAACGGAAAGTCTTTCTCAACCGCCTGAATCAGCTCCTCGTGGGCCGCCGACCGCGGCTTAATTACCGCACGATATGGAGCGGGGTGACTGAGCGCCCCCGGCTCAAACTTGACCTGGGGCTCTACAACCTTGCCGTTTTCTACCGGCTTGGAAATGTTGAAGACCGCGAGGGACTGCGCAATGGTGATAAAGAGCGCGTTGTCGGCGACGTATCGGCCGGGGCAGATGCGCCTCCCATATCCGAAAATCCAGTTCCGTGGGTCGGGCTCGGCCGTGTGCGTGGCTGTCGTGAGGTGTCGTTCTGGGCGGAATTCCATGGGATCAGGGTAGACGGCGGGGTCATGGGTGAACCACCTATGCAGCGGGAATAATTGTTAACTGCTATTCGTTCATGCGAGCGAATTTGCCTGTACGGCACGGGACGAAGTAAAATGGGACAAAGAAAATCAACCGTACCAGGTATTTGGCAGCAAAGCGGCGCCCTTGGGGATTCGGTAGCCTCGGCAGACGTCCTCTTGCGTGCTCGAGTGAGGTATACCCATCGGTACAACAGGGTGCCACCGGTGAGTTTCTTTCATAATGGCTTCGATGTAGGGGAGGTTGGCACAATCGGCGCTGACAGGGAGCCGGCTGCTTCCGACAACGCGGTCCAGTTCTTCCTGGGCCTTCTTTTGGACGTCGGGATACAAGGTCATGGCCAGGAAGAAAGTCATGAGGGATGAGACGGTAGTGTCGGCGCCGCCTAGATACATGGCTAACGCGGTCCATTTGTGGAAGAATTCCATACCAGCATCGCCGCCAATGCTCTCGATGGCCTGGGAGAGGAACGACGTCTTATGCTTCTTCTCATTCATCCGTTGCTTGACAAACTGGTAGGGTTGGTCGACAGTCTGCTTTAGATGGAGCGTCATGCGACGAGCTACTTTCTTGAACCCGGCTCCTGGGAATGATTCGGGGAGGTAGCGCAGGAAAGGAAAGATGTCGACTGCCCACTTTCCTGGGACGATTGCTTCGGCGAAATCTTCCATTGCCTTACCTGCCAGGTCGACGAACGGGTCCCTATCATGTGGCTCGGTCGTGTAGCCATACACGATTTTGAGGATGACACTGCCAGCTTCCTTCCTAATATGGTCAAATAGCTGGTCCGGCGACTCATAAAGGTTTACAAGGAAGTGTGCTGCTTCAACCTCTTGAACGCGATCAAACATGGATAGGGAAACGTTGGTGCTGACGATCTTAGTAATATTTTTGCGGTGCGTCTTCCACTCGTCATTGTATGGAATCATTGCTGTTCCGTGCTTCCATCCCACCATTTCTTGGCTGAAGACTTGGACGGGGCGAGAGGAATGGATAGCCGAACGGTCGCGCATCAGCTCAAGGGCGATGCTCGAATCATTGATAATAATAAAAGTTTGGCCGAGAACAGTCACGGAGCTGATCGGGCCTGAAGCTTGAAGTTTAGCAAATAACAATTAAGCTGATGTTTGTTACAATGGATCTAACGCACCATAGAGGTCTTTGTGCTTTAGCCAGTGATGGCACTCAAGGATACCGGGTTTAGGCATGTCGTTGATATTTCCAACGAGGGGAAGGCCTTTCGGACCCGGAGGAAGAGGCCTGCCATTGCCCTTGGATCGTAGACGATTTATCACGTACAGGGCTAGGAGGCCCAGAAAGATGGTAGGCAATAGAAAAGCCATTGTAGAAAATGAAGAAATGAAGAAATGAAGTGGTCCAAAGGATTTCCCGTCAGCAGCGAGAGGGGCAGCACTTAAAAAAAACTTAAAAAAGTTATACCTTGCATACTATCCTTGCAGACGGTATAGGCTAATGATGACAAACACGAACGATAAGCCTCCGACTGGCTGATGTGGATCAGCACGCGCCGATCGGCCCCATGATAGGCGAAAGTGCCGAAGCGGAGCTGTGTCTGTGCCATCGTTGTACTCCGCAGCGCGCTACGGATTACTCTAGCTCAACACGCTTGATTTGCTCCAAAGCATCCCCGATCATACTTCGCGTTCTTTCATCCGTACAACTCGATCGCCACTCGCTCAGCTTCTGCTTCCAGTCTGCCCATCGCTCGAGGTCGTAAGCAGGCTGCTCTTTGTCGCTCGGATGATTGTCTCTAAAGAGTTGCCCCTCCCGGACTTTGGCCCACACTTTCTTCCCAGCATAGATGAACCACAAACAAGCCGTCCGAACGGCATGGTCATTGTTTATAGTTGGGAAATTCCATGGCCCGAGACCCTCTACAATACCGGAAATTGCCCACATATTGGATGAGTCGTTTTCTGGGTCATTGGAAATCCCAGTGAGCTGCGCAACAAAAGTCGATAGGCGTTCCCAGCGATCTTCCTCTTCGGGCAAGTTGAAGTTCTCTTCAGGCTCAGTTGGGTAACGCGTAGGGCCTGTATTTTGTTAGCGAATCTGTCCGTACGAAGAAGCGAAGGAAATAAACGCTTACGATATGCCTGCATCTCATCACATAATGTGACACCACAGAGGGGAAGGTCATTCCAAATACGTTCCTCGCCGTGCCTTAAAGGCTCACCAGTGACACTGTCCGGGTCCGGAATTGTAGTATTCTGAAGTTCTATCCAGACGGCAATGAGCTTTCGCTGTTGGTCTGGTGTTGTGCGTTGGGCAAGCTCAACGAAGGCATTGGCCACAGGCCAGAAAAACCCAAACGATCCAAATGACTTGGGGTCTTTTAAATAGTCATACGTCATGCTTAAGATTTGCTGTACCGTGTCGGAGGGATTGGCGTCTGGCTGTTTTATAAGTGCATCCAACACTTTGAACTCTTGGGACGGTTCTATTTCTTCGGCGACGAACTTTGCGTATTCGATACGATGACCGTTTCTGGAGTAGCCCATGGTGTAGTGGATAACAGTGCAGTGGATGTCAGTTGGAGGCAGTGGAGGAGGAGTGAGGCTAGCTATATGTAGATGCGACCTATGACGTCAATCTCTACTTCCGAACAACTCGATCGTCAGGAGCCGTCTCCAACAGCGCAGGCGAAGCTGGCGGTTAGCACACGCGCATTGTGCGTTGAATGGGTTGAGGGCGCGGAGTTGCAGGCAGCAGCTGCGCCGTCTCCACCCAACGTCGCACAGCCCCATGCAGGCAGCAGCGAAGCCACATCAACATCAGCACAACACAACACATAACACAACACATAACGCAAACAAGTCCCACTCCTTCGCGTTAATGGCGCTTAGAAGCGCGCTTGATGTGGGGCATGCGCGGACCAATCAGCAAAAATCTCTCCGCGTCAAATCCGCCGCTGCTATAGCCCCTAAGGGTAAGTTGGCAAGTCCTGCTCAAACGTCAAAGATTATACACGGTGACTTTGCCGCCAACTTCTTACTTACTGAGAATCCGCTCCTTTCGCACGGTCTATAGTCTGGAATTGTGCAGATAACAAAGCCAACATGCTAACTCTCAATCTCCATGGGGGCGTTCAGCCTGGGTCCTTGGGAATTTCGAAGCATACTGTAAGATATAAATAACGTAAGATGATTTCTTCGAGATGTTTAAGACAGTCACGTAAGTTGTTTAAGTTAACGGGTCATCTTGTATTATTCGAGTTGGTAGCTACATCTCAATTTCTATAGAGTACCTTCTCGGCTTTGTCGGGCGTAAATACTCGACCTTTTTTGCCAAATGAGGCATAGGTCTTCCACTTGGATTGTTCGCAACTCTAGGAGCTAGAGTGTACTCAAGCCCGCTCATCTTATAGCCTCGGGCCACCTTGATTTCTTCTAGCACTTCGACGATATGGTTGAAGCCGCGCTTCTTTGCCTCTTGTATCGCATTTGGACATTTGCTGGAGAGTATGTATTCGTTCGAGGAGGGGGAGTAGTGTACTCGAGCGGGGACCATGCTGGCATCCTCGTTCAACAGCATTCGAACGAGTGTTAAGTTACCCGACCTGGCCGCATGCTGTAGGCATGTGCGGTTATCTCCTCCCGCCGCATCTGGGTCCGCACCAGCTTGCAGCAAGACCCGTGCAGTGGAATGTGCTCCTCCAGAACAGCTCTCGACTAGAGCCATATCCAGAGCGTAGTCACTCCAGAGTGGCTCAGCATCGACACTTTTCTCGTTCCATTGAGCGAGCAGAAATGACAGAACACTGACATTATTTGCTCGCGAGGCTAAAACCATAGCTTCCCTCATTTCCCACGTTGCGGCTTCATAGCCATACTCGGGATCTAGAAGCAGACTGAGGGCGTCCTTTTTGCCCTCCAAGGCTGATGCGGTGGCTGCAACAAAGGGGCTAGGAACAGGTCGTCTAGAATGGTTTGGTTGTCCGTCGTTTTCGAAACAACGGGCAACACCATGTTGCTTCCCACTCTTCAAGAGGTACCTCATAATTTCTGTGTGTCCTTGTATAGTGGCCGCCCAGAGCGGTATTCCGAAACGGGTGTGAAGATCGAGTCGCAGGCTTGTATCGCCATATTTACTGCTAATGATCTTGCAGAAATCGCCGAAGAGTGCTGTATCGCCAACATATGCGGCGAGTGTTAAGCACTCGGCTTCGAGGCAGTCATGCTCTTTAATCTCGAAGTTTTGCTCAAACTCGAGATCCCAACAAGGGAAAGTTTCCCTGCTGCTGCCGTCAAGATGCACGAGTATAGCACCAGCGCCGAGGGCTACAAGACAAGCACATGCAGCCTGCGTGAAACGCTCTTCGCTGTTTTCTTCTTTTTCTCCACTGGTATGGATAGCCATTATAGCGCTGGTAGTGGTTCGCACGAAGAGCGCGATGCGGCAGCCATGGTTGTTTTTCCCGAACAGCTGGGTGTACAATGCGTGTGATAATAAAGGCCAAGTCCACATTGAGCTCGCTGCCAGGAATCGCGCGTCTCTAAAGGTCAGAATACAGCGAGTACTAAACAATGCTTCCTGAATCTCGTAGCCGAAAGTCTCTGCCATTCACATCAGTGTCTAGAAAACTCCCAGTGGCGTTTTGTTGTGCTCAAAAGAATCAAGAAACACATACTGCAGACTAGGCGCAAGTGCAAAGAACCGGAGACTCCGGATAGGATAACGACAGACTCAATAATCTCCCTGAAGAGCTCCTTTGGTAGGTCGAGAATTTGCATTTTCTCATAAGAAAAATACGGATTTTGCAATATTCCCGAGTAAATGGCAGGACAGATAGAATTTTTATAAAACGTCGATAGAATCGTAAGGTGGAAAACATAAGTGGGTAGCTAAAAGTATTAGACTTAAGCTAGCTTCCTAAGAATAGCATAAGCAGTGCATCGGGGCTAAAATTATTTGTGGGTGGCGGAGCAAGGTCGTTGTGGATGTGGGGGCGGATGTCTTTTTTTTTTTTTTTTATATTTAGGTGGCACGGTTAGTGCTGCGCCACATGGACACACATCTTGAACGTTTATCTTATAATGGAACGTAGTAACATTTCGGAACGCTAACTAGGGCTTCTTAAAATATGTAATTTACTATCTAAAAACATAGACTGCTCCTTTTCGCATTTCCTGCGGACTTTAATTTGGACTTTAATTCTCAACCGAGGCATATTAGTTGTATGTTGGTACATCAATTTAGGGTGGGAAGATTAGGGCCCACTACAATAACCTATAAGGGGCGGTGTTGGAATTTGGCAATGTGGCACGGCGGATGCTGCCTGCAACAAGTGATTGCGGTGACATATTGCTACATACGGATTATAGCAGTATCCCATGCTTGGAGCAAGAAATACTAACTATACTTTCGGATCTGCTCGACATAATATATTGTTTCATAATATATTGTTTCATGCTGCTACTAAGCGGCGGCATTATCTACTATAGTTCCATGGGAATAAGAGGCGAAATTGAAATGCAACATCTACTATAAAACCTAGGAAAGGGCGAAGTTTCTGTATTCCTCCGAGAAAGTACATACATGGGGCGAAATTAAAATATAGTATCCACTACAACATCTTGAGTGGCAGGGGCGATACTAGGATATGTTACCAACTACCATACTCTAGACATTTGGGGCGGGACGAACAATGCTATAAGAGCAGGTGATAACGTCTTTCTAAAGCCATCAAAGCACAGCTCTAAATACTACAGAAGCATCAATTTAACAAACACCTACTATCATCTACGTTCGTCTTCAACATGCGCTTAACGTTTGCCAAAGCGCTTCTCTTGGTAGCCGCGGCTCAACCCTATATACCCGGCTCCTTTGCCGTTCCGCTTTCCAATAAAACGCCATCCTCGAACCTCGAACCATACAAGCCAGTTAGCGCCGTAAACGAACCTGCACTTCTGACAATAGATAATCTTCTGGCTAGTACGCATGCTGCTACGGAAGATACCGTTTCCAAGAGGAACGCGGCTTGGCTTCTAGCTGCAAGAGATCCGAACCCTCCGAAAACCCAGCCGGCCAAAGACAAAGGTGCGAAAGATAAGGACGCTAAAGACAAGGATGCCAAAGGCAACGACACGAAAGCAAAGGGTAAACAGAGCGCAAAGAAAGACAGCTTGGTCGCGGATCTAAAGAAGTGCAAAGCTATAAGATCTTTAGTTAAGAGAAAGGATATTGAGGCCGATTCCGAATGCTTGACCGACAACAACAAAAAGACCTATATCGAACACTATCATAAAACTGAAGCACAGATTGCTGCAGGCGGCCATGATCGCACGGATAAGCCGACAGAGAAACTCAAGAACTACGTTACCAAAAACAGCAAGGGCGTAGCCTTAACTGATGAAGACGAAGCGACCATTAAGCATTTAACCGGAATCGATGCGAATTACAAGTTCAGTACAGATAGTTCTGCCTGGGCAGACATAAAGACTATGTCTACAGGGGAGAATAGCCGTCACCCGGTTCTCTATAGTAAGATTGGCAAAAACAAGGACGGCGTCCTTGCAGTTATATGCAAGGAAAGGTTTGCCATTAAGGATGCCAATCGATACAAGCTCGGGCAAGACGGTGAAGGAAAAGCCGATACCTTATTAGATAAGGCTACTCGGGATAAGAAGTCACTTCCGGTTTCTGAGCTTATTTTTGAGCAGATGAAGGTAAGGCAGAAATTATATTTGGGCCGGTAATTTACTAATTATGCTATCACAGGAATCAGGAATGTATACAGGCAATGAGAAAGCTATTGTCTTTGTAGCGAGCGAAGTCGGAAACCTCGTCACGTTGGATACCATTATCAAGGCACACGAAGCAGTAAATGCGCCTGATAATAAAGTGTCTCTTTGGCACCCTCAAAATCAAGCGCAAAAACAATGGTACGAACTACTTTCCGGGACGGTTAACATTAACCCTTTCCGTTATTTGGTTTCAGACCACCCGACTATCGTCAAGCACTTTCGCATTAACCAGCTTGGCACTACGCCTTTCGATGCTGACCCTGACACGGATCTTCCATTGGTTCCAGCTATGTACCTTCAGTTACTAACTAACTAAAAGCGCAATGTATATATACTACGTAGATAGTCACTCCTTTATAATCCATCTACGTTCTTACTACTCTTGTTCTAACATAGTATTCTATTCACCGAGAGCATGGTGTAATAGGAGACCTAGGTAGATCTTTCAACGGACTCCGACTGCAATTATTTCAGAAAGGGAGCAGGTGCAACAATAGATTTCACGAGAGTTTAGGGTTCTGCGGCCTGACCAATGGCTTCTGGAAAGAACACTCATGCGAGAAGAACACTTTTTAATAGCTAAATCATCTAAGTTCATGTGGAGATATCGCGCTACAAAGTTGCATAGCATATTACTCACTGCGACAGCAGGCCCAATAGCGAGCAACCGCAGCAGTCGCAGCCTTGCAGGCTCGCAGCGAGCGACAAATCAGGCACAGCAGCAACAGTAGCAGCGAGCGACAGCAGCAGGCAGAGCGAAGGTAGAGAGAGCGACAATAGCATTTATTGCTGTAACAATTCCTCAAAAGTCTCCGAAAAATGCAAACAACAATCGGATAGACATGTTTATTTATTGTCTTAAAGAATATCACGGCTTTATAAGTTGCACAAACCTGGAGCGTTTGTACGCTATGAAAGGTAAGTATAATGTATCCCTAGGTAAGCATGGATAAATATTCATCATTTCGGAAGACGTAGAATAGTGTAAGGGTATAATCCTATCTATTTAGAATTATGCCAAATACTTGTTCGAGACACAGAAATTACGTCTAAAGCTTATAGTTTTTACGAATTCTTCGCAGTTTTTGCATCTACACGTAAAAACCAAACCACACTTCACAATGAATTACGCATACTTCTTATGACTCTGTGGCCGTATTGGATATAGAAGAATTTCTTCCGCCGGCTTCATCTAATAGGGATGGTTAACAATCACTCGCGAAGTTTAGGAAAGGTTTTTGCCACAACGTTATACAAATGATCTATCTATCACTTAGGAATCCTCGTAAGTTAGATTTAATCACTTTCAACACTTTACTGTATGCTGAACAAGCCGGAATCTTAGAACGATTAGCCATACTCCGAGAGCTCCTATATTCAACCTTGAACAAGGCCAGCATTTCACACGAATTTATCAGCTATGTTTTAAACTAGGACCTACACGCCTTCTACCTGCTGAGGATAACAGCACTGCCGTAGGCAATTGCCAAAAGCAAATAGAGAGAAACCTTACATTTGCAATGCCATTTCGACCGTACTCGACGAAATCATCCCTAGACTTTTCAGCATCTTGGATAATACAGTTGACTTTCAGCATTCTGAAAAACGAAGGTTCCTTAAACAAACATTAGCCTTCTAGTACGCATGAGTGCGTCCACGCGTGAGATCATTGCAGAAACGTCTCTTGGACACTTAGTTACTGAATTATAACATATCCACGCCAGCGATTTCCAAAGCACAGTTTAATTTTTCTTGCTATACAGTAGAGCATTGGTTTCAGCATTATAGAAAGGCTCATGATTGCGCACTCCTTATCCAACTACTAAGCAACCCGCTTCTTCAAAACAAAAATGCTGTAAGGTTATAAAGCAGAGTACTTCTGTACTTTATATCGATAATTCAAAGACTCTTAAAGAGAAGAGATAGAATCATTGCCTGTGACCGGTATGGATGCAATGATTAAATTTGCAAGACGTCCTGGCGTGGTAACTCAAGGAGGAAAGACAAGAGGACAGGCGAATAGCTACGGTTAAGCGTCTCAAAGACCACTTAACATCCCTTTGTTTTAACTCTTCAATCGCTGACTTGGTCATGGGGAGCGTTCTGCAGGTGGGAACAACTCAACAAGATATTCTGGACCTGCTGATTCAACATATATCAAAAGGGTCTGGGGTTTCATCGGCCTCCTTTGGCGCTTCTCCGCGCATTCTGGCTCGACCAAATAGAGCTGGGTTGGTCTAGTAAGTCACGGTGCAGAAGTTAATTTTTAGCCGCACAATGAAATCAAAGACGGACTAATCTTTTCTGCCGGCCAAACAGAAAGAACTCACATCTGCAAAGATAATAGATATTCAGAACACCTTCAGCTGGTTGCCTTTGGACTTAGCAGCCTACCAGGGACACCGAGGCATGATTTGATTTCTCCATTTATGAAGAAAGAATCCAATTTTCAACCAATAATAAATACCCCTTCCTGCAATTGCGTTCTCTCGTGGACACCCCGCGGTTGTTCAGGTTGCGGTTGTTCAGGTTGCCTTGACCAAAACTCTCAAATTGACAACTTCGAACCTGGACGTTTAGAGTTTTTTTCCTTTTCACCTTTGCCGATTACAGCAGAGCTACATGCAAGCACGGATTGTTAAGAGCCAAGGTCGATTGAAACGAGTCTTTAGTGCATGCTCGTTGTTTGCTACCCAAAGGAATCCCATTAAGGCAGTGTAACTGCTGGTCGAATATAGAGCCTCTAGTGATTATAAAGATTAGCATTACGACGAGACTGCGTTGATCTATGCTTTAGACATGTGTCACGCTGGTTTGGCTAGTTGGCTGATTAACCACAGCGCCGACGTTGACCTTAAATTGTTCATGGGTATACCTTTTGGTATTCGCTGGGCAGGATGTACAAATCCTCTTCATCTTTTAATTGGCTACCAGGGAGATGTCGAGCTTGTTGACTGGATATGCCCCCTGAATTGTACTTCTAGTTCATCTATTACACGCGTTCTCGAGGTGGTTAAAGCAGATTTTAGTGCTACCACTCGCCAAAACCCCTTTTCAGCGCTATATATCGCTGTCGAAAACAGCGAACCTAAGAGTGTAGAGGTATTAGTACAATATGTCCGGGATTTTAAAAAGTGCTACCGTGCCGAAAAATCAGTCTTCACCCTCTGGCAGCAGTGGTGGGCAGGAAACGTATAGGTATTACTTAATTATTCTTATGGGCTGGTACTCATATTAGTTTTAAAGTCAATGGCAACGAATAAATCATTTATCTGGTTAAGAAGTCCTCCGCATCCTCATTGAATTGTAACCGGACCTAGCTTTTTTAGACTCCGACGAATCTACAGTACTTTATTATATACTTGACAGCAGCTACCCAATATTACTATTAGTTCAAGACAAACTCATCGTCAACGGTAGGATTAATATTATTAAGAGTAACAGCGATGAGTATACACCCCTTATACTTGTACTAAGGTCCGAGTAAACATAATAGTACTGTCTATACTAAATCGCATGGTGATATTAACTTGTACATAAACTAAAGAGACTCAGCACCATATCAAGCCTGTTAGGAAGGCAGCCCAAAGCCTATTATGCTGCTGATAGTTGCAGCGAGGACAAAAGTAAATCATGTCTATTCGGTTCTTAGAACTCCCCTTTGCGATGCTCGTCTCCGTACGTTACTACCGCACCTTATTAAGACGATTTTTGCGCAAAGGAGAGGAAGAATAGATAAAAAGAGTTCTTTAATACTTGTTTAATGCGGTGGACCAGCTAGCTGAGCTAAACATCTTTGGCGGTGTATACGGAAGTGCGTTGAAAGCCGCAAACTATGAATGCTCCGGCCCGGAAATTGATAGCTCGCTTAATGCGATGTTTTTTGTCGGTGTCCAGCTTATTCTGCTGCCCTCCGAAGCGTGGCAGGTCTTGTAAATAATACAAGTAGGTGCTGACATGTATTAGGTGGGCAAATCCGGTAGGATAATCGTCTACTTCGCGGTCTAGTCGGGGAATGTCAGGCCTCCCAACCGCCCGCCCGCCCCCGCCCGGGCCCTTCGGGCGGGCGGGCTGTAGGCGGGCGCCTGGGCGGGCGGGCGGGCGGGGAGGCGGATAGGCAATTACTAAGACCTCTCGCTTAGCCTATTTAGGTAATTACCTAAAAAAATAAAAAAAGTAAGGTATAGTAAAATGCAATACTTTTTACTTTTTCTAGAAATCGAACTAAGACTCTTTTAAATTTAGTATTATTCTCGGTTTTTATAAATATATACCTAAAAAAATGCGCACAGACCACTTTTGCTCGCCCTGCCCGCCCGCCCGTTGCCTGCGGGCGGGCGGGCGAGCAGCGACCCACCGGGCGGGCGGGCGGTTACGTAATCAGCCCGCCTGGTCGCCCGCCGCCCGCGGGCGGGCGACTGGGAGGCATGGGGAATGTTAACCTGGTTAAATCTATACTCGAGGCACCGGATAGTCTTCTCAACGTGCTAGATAGTAGTAAGTATACTACGTCGTATTATGCTGCACGTGGATCTTGCGTGTAGATGTTGCTATATGTATTTCCGCAAAATTGAGCTCTAGGATCCCATTCTAACTGGTAAACACTGCAACAAAACATCATGCGGCACCTACTTAAAAGAGGGGTCTGGTACAAGGATACTGATTGATATATTGGGCAGAATATGGCATTTAATAGTAATTGCGAGGCATCATGGTGGTAGTATACATTTACAAGACTTATCTAATCCTGAAAGCTCTAAGGCGAAAGGTCAGGTTTATATGGAACGACGAGCTGTACTAGACCGATAGATGCAAGCATAACTAACGTCTGGTGCTATTACTATCTTCTTGTAAACAGGTATCCCCTATAACTCTCTTTAAGTACTGGTTTACTAATCGCTTATCTTTTTCTTCAAGGGTCTACGATAAGGGCTACTAATGTATAGAATACTAGGTATTTTGTCTACGGTCCGAGGCTCGGCTATTAGCTCGAACCCATCTTCTTCCTAACTATCAATAGGAGAAAGAAGACTAGATTACAAAGAAGGACCTCAAACTACTAGTCGATCAAGATCAACGAAGCCAAAGAACGACTCCGGCTCTAATAGTGACTCTTCATAGTATTAAAGTATAACCAAGCCTAACTTCCTAAACTTATTGTTACCGCCTTGAAAGTCTTACACAACGTTGCTACGGCCCTCGTGAAGCATTCACCTGTCCCGCGACTGTACTGACAGTTTTCTATGCGGATGCATGTTTCACTATTGTCGAAGTACCCAATTTTTAACTTCGCCAGGAAGAGGAAAGCAGTCAGAAAAACTTACAAGCTAACGAAAGATTTACTTGCCATCACTCCTTTTAAGGAAGTTTATTAGTTTTCTTATATTGTTTAACAGATGCACAGCAGAACCGTTGTCTTTTCGTTCACAAGATTTCTCTACAGCGAAATCGTGCCACTTCGCCGCCATCCCAGTGCGCCTTAACATCGTAAGTTCTCCGTACCAAAAGCATCATCGCGACAAGCTTAAAACCCAAGCATGCTCACAACAACAGCGAATGCGTGGAAATTCATCAGCACTACACAAGAGATGAGAAAGCACGATCAGGGTGGCCAAACTACAGATATCATTAATGAAACTTGGGGGGAGCAAACAGCGCAGCATAGAAGAAAACCCTGGCGTGCCGGGCCAGTCAAGCATCGTACACAATCAATAAATCGGCCCGTTCCAACCAATCTCGTGGGGCACTGAGCTTATTTCAACGACTTACTAACACTAACTGACGAGCAACTGTTGCTGGGGATGCGCACGATCGCGGCACCAGCTCTCTCCTCTCTTCTTGTGGGCGGAACTTCCAGCTGCGCCGCATGGTCAAGCCATCAGGCAAATTTGGCGGTATGATGGCTGCACGGGCGCCGGCATTCTCCGGGGAGGGCATGAGATACCAGCTGGAAAATTAGGCAGTGAGCGAGGGCACGTAGTGACTACCTATATAAAGGTCATGATTTGTCTTTGCTTATTATCGTGAGGATGCTTTTATCTTACATGGTCTTCCCGAGTGGGGCTCAAAGGAAGTTGTTTGCACACCAGGAGTAAAGCAGCTGGTCTGATACTGATCGGTGACGAAAACTCTTTTTCTACATAAGCAATTTGACAGGTTAAAACTGTCACATACGACCATAGGTCGCGGAGAATTGGGCATCCCGTCCGCTCTGCCATACACAAGCCGCGAACCGGCTGATTAGTAGTTAGGTGGGTGACCACTAGCGAATCCCAGCTGCCGTATGTTTTTTTGTCTTTTTGCTTTTCTGCAAGGTGATGGGTTGGCTTTCTGCGGAGATAGGTGAATGAGAGGGGGGGGATTGTTGGATGGTTGTGGGTGGCGTGTTTTGCTTTGGTTTGTTGTCGAGAACTTTTGCGAAGCCTTGGACTGGCTGCGCTCCTGAGAGCCTTGGGCCGACGCGGCTGTGGTGCTTTTTGTGGCGAAACGCGAATGCGGGCAATGGCGCAAACTTCCGGGCCAGTGTAGATGTGCAGCTTTGTCGGTTGTTTCAACGATGGCAGGTGGTTGTCGAGCAAGTACGTAGAACACTATGTACTTACCCGGCATGAAAGACTCTTCGTGCTCGTATCGCCGGGTCGGGGAAGCGGGGAAGGTATTTTCTCCGCCGCCCCAGCCCGCACCGGAGAAATTTCATCATCATCATCGTCACCCGGGGGCCCGCTTGCTTACGCATCTACGCTTTTCCAGAGCATTAGGAGCGTATTCCAGGGCCTTTAAAATCGGCTTTGTTGCACGCGTTGGAATCTCCAGCCATGCTTCCACGAGCTTTGCGGTGCTGTTTGGATGTTTGCATGTATGAATGCGCGGCGGCTCTTCGCTGTGAGCGAGACGATACTGCCTTTCTTTCCATCTCTACTTTCCATTGCGAACTTGACAGAACGAAGGAATGCAATAGCTAATCATTCGTCTTCTCTTTCGCTTTCTCCTTCGCCAGCTTCTCTTCCATATCCTGCTCTTGTCTTCTTTGAAACTTGGCCATACCCGCGAAACAAGCTCCCTGATCGCCGGCCACAGGTCCACAGCGTCGAGATAGCGTACTACCTTTCCAGCGCCATCGCGTTCAGTAATGTAGATGCCCAGGTACGATGCCGCGTTGCCGCCGGGATAGGAGCTGATGATGCGCTGCGCGATGTTGATGGTGATGATAACGAAAACAGAGAACAAAACGGATATGTGTAGCAACACCAGCATGTAGGTCACTGTGAGGAAGCTGATGCGGATGAAAAAGTTAATTAGGTGTTTAATTCCCCCCTTTGCTGGCCAAATGAATTGAAATCTGAGATGATGCAATGCACGTGCTGCTCAAGCACCGGGAAAGCCGTCTCTGGTCTTTGGCAGCACCAGCGCGACGAAGGCGAACGGCATCGGCAAGAGCATCATTCCTCCCGTGTTGCCCTCGCTCATCCGCAGGCATCCAGCACAGGTGCAAAGAGAGCAAGCAGGCCAAATCCCGCTCCGTTAGTGACAAGCAATGAGAGATAGAGGGGTGGGTTGTCGCTGAGGCGCAAGAGCAGTCAGTCGCCCAGCAAACTCGTCGCCTCGCCTCGCACTGCCCCGCCAAACAGATTTGCAAGCCCTTCAATCAGCCCGCCCAGCCTCTACGCCCACACCAAGCACAAGAACCGTTGACACTAGGCGCAAAATGAGCATTTAATCGCTGCACTCCACGCTCTTCTTCTCCGCCATTACCACCGCCGCCGCCCGACCGACCGACCGACCGACCCGCCCCCGCTGAATCTCCTCCGCTCACCATCGCTTTCGTCTGCCCAATCGAACCAATATTCAAACACACAAAACTGTCCTGCGTAGAGGTCATGGACACGGCATTGGTGGAATAGGTGGAAGAGGTCATGGTCGGCTCGCAGAGGTATCCCGGCACGAATTTGGAATTACTCCTGCCCTTTTAATAGTAATTACGTCCACTCCAATGCAGGTAGGCCCCACCTAGTCATCCACTTTGATTGAAGAACCTGCCGCGCGTCAAGCCGATGTGTTGGCTTGAAAGCTAGCATGGAGAGGAGCAGATCCTCCAGCGCCGCCTTCTCCCTATCTCCAACCTCTTCCATACCGCACAGTCTCCGAGGCACCTGGATTGAGTACTCAAAGCGCTCCGCCCAAGGTCGGCGCGGCTCACCATCCACCCGTTCAAGTCGCTCGTCAAAAAAGTTGCCACGGGTCTTCCAGCTTGCCCACCAGCCTGGTGGTAGTTGGCCCAGCATGTCTATCTGTTCTTGGAGGACCTCGTCTTGAGAGGGAAACCAGGACTCAAAGAGGGGGCGCTGGCCGAAGACGGAGAAGACGACACACGCGAGTGCCCAGATGTCTGTGGGGAAAGAGAGCGGCAAAGACGGTTCAAGGAACAGCTCTGGTGCGCGCAGTATAAGCGGCGTGTGCGAGCGATGCCGTGTCGTTGTGGCGGGCTGGAAGGATTCTCCGAAGTCGGTCAAAAGTATGGCAGATTCGGCTGGAGTAATGTCTTGGCTGGCTGCTCCGAGCCAGATGGGGACGACGGCGTGGTCGGGTACGCCGTTGCCGAGTGGTTGGCCGTGGAGTCTCTGCACTGCCTCGAGCTCCGGCTGACCGTACTTTTCGTACAGCTGATCCGGGGTTAGGCAGTCCACCGAGCTTGGTAGGCGGAGCAGAATGTTGCCTTCGTGAAGGTCTGATATGCCAGTAAGCAATGTCACCGAACATGGTTTTAAAAATATGCGTACCGGAATGGACAACGCCCTTTGAATGCAAGAAAGCGACAGCTTGGATAAGTTGAGCCGCAATGGCACGAGCGACCGGAAGCTGGAAAAGGCGCCCGTAAGAAGCTTCTCGTGCGTCGGACAAGCTCATGCTCGCGGGAAGAGTGACGATGCATTGATGGGAGCCATTTGGGCCTTGCACGGTGAACTCATCCAACAAAGCCGGGACCACGGCTCTTCCGGCGTCTTTTCCCTCCGGGTCTTCGTCTCGCAGGAGTCGTAGGACGCGGCTTTCGGAAGTGCATTCGGCCTGGGCTACAGCGATCTTGAGAGCGACGTAGGAAGTCGCTTCTGCCTTTTCGTCGCGAGCCAGCCATGTGGTTGAGTAGGAGCCAAATCCGAGCTTGTGCACGATGCGGTAGCGGCTGTGGAGTCGGTCATTGATGCGCACGGGATGGTAGCCTCCGGGCCGGTATCGCTCGAGCGGCTCGATGTCCTCGAGGGGCGTGTACAGTGTTGTTGTTGATTTTGTTGACAGGTGGTGGATGCTGAGGGCTGGAGGGAAAGGAAGGCGGAGCTTTGAGGGTCGGCGGAGCATTGCGGGGTCTGGTTGGTGTTCGTGCTCTGGCCTCTGTGCCTCTCTCTTCCTGCCACCTCCTCATCCCGCACCCCCTTGTCAATTCGGTGGCGTCGAATTGGAAAACGGCGGGAAGCGTGATTCATGCAGCTGTTGCATCGCCCCCACGTCCAAACACAACCAACAATGCCCTCGCTCTCGCTTCTGCCTTCTTTCACCCTGTGCCTGCTCAACCTTTCCCCGCTGGTATGTATGACATCCAGGAACCAAGTGCACGGTCCCGTCTGACATGCAGCAGCAGCAGCTTTTTTGAAACAATCCCTTGCGCATTAGCTGACTCCGTGGAAAAGCCCTTGTGCCAAGCGTATTCAGCTGCTGTCCACCCCTGCTTGTAAAGTCGTACAAGCACCATGTCGCTTACATTGTTACCCGCTTTTAGAAAAGTCAACATTATGCCACTACTTAGGCTAAACCGCTGCCGATGGACTTATAAACCCGTCCAACATGGCCAATATCCAATCTACATCTACGCAAAAATGATTTCCTTTTGGCTGCTCCTTGCCGTTTGCTTTCGTCTCTCCACCGGAGGACCAGTCGTTTCTTCTGCTTCCGAGGATGACACAACGACTGTGACCTTGACCAAGACGCACCTTACCTCTATTGTTGTGACTCGCAACATCTCGGCCACCACCACCATTCCCGTCACATCCAGCGCCTCCCCGACCATCACGAATACCTGGACGGGCAAAGACTACACTGATGTAGCTGATCTCCTTCGGTGCCAGGCTGAGCATGATGTATATCGTTCAAAACAGAACAGCTGGTGGTCAGGGCAAGACTTGTTCCCTGAAACCAGCTACATGGAGACAACCTCAATATGGTTGGGCAACTCAAGCAGACCTGTGTCAACACTTTGCGATGGCTGGCCGCGAGCTCCGGGCTCAGGCTTGTCCTATGTTTCATCCATGGTGACTAGGAAAGTTTACAATCCTCCTTCCTACACCGGCCCGACGCCAACGTGCCGATACAACTATCACGGATGCGAGCTGATGGTCTTGTCGTACCTAGAGGAATATTCGAGGGTGGAATCCATAAGTACCGCCACACGACCACGGTCTCCTGCATGTGTCATGGACATGTCGCAATGCTTGATGCCCGTTGGCGATTTCGGCTGCCGACTCGATGCTGGCCATGTCCGGCTGCTCTACTGGGCCCAGTCCAAAGACCCTTCGGCTCTCTGCGTTAACAACACTCACCCCGTTACTTCTCCCCCTCCCACGACCGAGCCTGTCACTGCCGTATACGATGGCCATACCCTTACCTCGCCTACTGTCTACCTTTCTTTTGATCATCTCGAAGGCAACTTGTGCTTTAGCGAATATTCAAACACAATCATCGGCGTACCCTCAAACTCCATCTCTAGCATCCGCTTCGCTTCCAAAGCCTACTTGTCAAGGACTCTTTCAATGAACTGGGCTGACCTCGAGTACCCCGTCCCTGCTTCTGCATATACTGGAATGATGGATTGCTGGACCTCCGCCTGGGATGGCAAGCACAAGGATAATTGCGCTACTAGCTACGACGAGGACTACCTGCCCCACCTTGCTCTCCCTACAGACGGTGCTCTGTATAAAGGTCTTGATCCTGCTTTTGCAAATTGTTCCAGTGTTAGCTGGCGCAAATACGTCCTCGATCCACCCCAATCGATGAAAAGAGCGGACCATCTTTAGAGATGAAACAAGCTAATGCCCTGCTCCGGTACACCTAGCAGGGCTTACGGGGTTAAATCGTCCAGGTCGATTTATATTCTTAACCTGTTAAAGGAAAGAATGGACTGAGGATCTCGGTTCGACGGATATCCGAATCGGAAAGGACAGCTCCATGAAAGTATCACGGAATGAGATAGGAATAAGCTAAAAGGAAATACAACCATGTACCGTACCATAAACGGCTCCTTTCATTTCCTCCTCACTCTGCAACAGCACACAAGAGCAGAGTAAGAATACTTTGCCTCATTATACCGTACGAACCTTCTACTGCTCTGACTTCAGTTGACAGACATACATGCGGAGCAGTAGGCATGCAGCAGATAAAGAAAGCACGTAGTACTGTCTAGTATTCTCTCTTCGGCGGTAGTGCCTTTAGCCCTTCTAAAACCTTTTTGAATGACACGCGTACCTGTTGCCGCTGGGATTCACTTGTGAGATTTCTACATGTCACTGTTATCAGGGGAAGTCTCGTTGCGCCAGCCCAGTGAACTGTACCGACCTTCTCTGCCGTTGCCGCGATTAATCCAATGAGAAACAAGAGCTGGCGTTGGATCAGCCTCTATACCGATTGGTTTGTCGGACATCTTCGTGCCTGTGTCAATGACCGCTTCAGTGTTGTTTAGCTTGGTTAAAGTCCTTTCAACCTAATCCCGTCTACGCCAAACTCAACGTAACGGCAACATTGAGATCAAGAAATTGAACCGACAGCATTTCCAGGTTCCAAATGTGTGGTCATGCATGCCGACCGCTCAATGCCCCGGTCCCAAACACTGCAAACTTGCAACCCAAACACGTATTGCCAACTGCCAAAAATGCTCGCAAGCGATCTTCAGGCGCACCTTCAACACTTTCCCAAGACCATTTTCTTCTTGATCCATTGGCGCCATCACTGAGCGGAGTTTGATCTTGTTTCCCGTCCGCCACCCCCTTCCTATTGCCCGAAAACTCTGACTTTGTCACTTCCCGCCTTCGTCGTCACATCCACCAGGTACAGAAGGGAGTTCCTCGTGCATCGCAATCACCAGATTAAGCAGAACATGGTCGCTGTCCAGGTCGGTCTTCTGTGCCTCTGTGTGCCGCTCATGGAGCGCCGCCACTCTACTCTCTACTTCGGCACTGGCGAGTTGACAGGGGAACGTCGAATGTTCAGTTTTACCTGGAGATGCTGAAGAGCATGGGAAACGCCTCGTTCTTTTGCGTATAGAGCCTGCGAAGTCTGGTGTAGACGAAGGTGGCGTGAAGTTTTTGTAGTAGGCTGATTGTATTCTTGCCAAGTGCTCTACGATCAGGGGCGAGCGTAGTTAGCTTTGGATTAAATTGCCTGATGGGGTAAACTAAGCCAGCCTAACCTAAATTTGAGTTACGCTAGAATTCCTTAAACAAACGAGGATAGCTACGCGGAAATGGCGCCTTAACGACCTTCCCGAGGGGGATTGATTGAGTTGAGTTGAGTTGAGTTGAATTCATTTACCCTAACCTATCGCCCTGAGCGATATGCAGGCTATAGACTATTCAAAGGAATACGCTAGGGATTTACATTGGTGATTTAATCTGAGAGTATAAGGAGAAAGGGGAAATAGAGATAGGATAAAGGAAAGGTAGAAGAATAGGAATAAGATAGGGTTTTACTAGTTAATATCGTCTCTACTCTAGAACCTTTTTGTTTGTTGAGCGAATTTAAGTACCTATTTAAGTTGTGCGGCCGAAATTATCTATTTTATCTTTTCCGTATGCGGCTGGTTCTTATCTGTTGGTTTACCGCCTAGGAGGCTAGAGAGGTAGTTTCTCTAGAGTCCGGTTTCTTAATATATTTTTTACCGATTTTCCTAGAGTAGTAAATAGTCTAGTAATATATAGGATATTAATTCTATATCCCCGTATTTATATTTATCGTTGTTTATCCGTCTTATTCGTTTTCGGTACTAGTTAAGCTAGTATAAGCTAGTTCTTAACTAGGCTAGTAGCCCTGCTAGGTTACGTAGGAGCTTATCGTAGAGGTACCTTACGTATAGTCTAGGAACCGCTATATCTACGTTATAGAGGTATTAGCCTTTCTCT